CCCCATTTTTTTTTTAACAGGATTATTTGGTATTTTGGTGACTAGTTTCTTGAGTTCTTTGTATTTTGGAGATCAGCCCTCTGTCAGATGTGGGGTTGGTGAAGACCTTTTCCTACTTTTGTTGACTGTGTCCTTTGCCTTACAGAAGCTCCTCAGTTTCAGGAGGTCCCACTTATTAATTGTTGATCTCAGTGTCTGTGCTACTGGTGTTATGTTTAGGAAGCAGTCTCCTGTACCAATTCTTTCAAGGGTACCTCCCACTTTCTCTTCTATGAGGTTCAGTGTAGCTAGATTTATGTTGAGATGTGTCTATCTGCAGTCTACACACTATCATCCACTTGTGCCAGCACTATTTGTTGAGACCCTCCTTCCATTGTATAATTTTAGCTGTTTTGTCAAAGTGTTCACTGGTGTGTGGGTTAATATTAGGATTTTCAATTTGATTCCATTGGTCTACCTGTCTTTTTTTTTTTTGCCAATACCAAGCTGTTTTCAGAACTATAGCTCTATAGTAGAGCTTCAAGTCAGGTATGGTGATGCCTCCTGTAGTTCCTTTATTGTGCAGGGCTGTTTTGGCTATCCTGGGACATGTTCAGTTTTGAACACCATTGTACTTAAGGAATACTTGAAGAAATTACTGCAGCTTCTATGGAGTTAGTTTGTAAAATGCACCTTCCGCAAACTTGCCAAGATATATGACTTCCCCTGAAGAATCAAGTTAATCTTAATAAACTGCTAATTGTTATAAATTTTACTGCCTCTATTTTTCTTGGAAGAACTGAGCACTACTTTTGCTTTTGTAAAAAACGATGTGCATGCTGGAGATAACTGAGGCATCTGCAGGGTGTTTGTTGTAAAAATTAGGCACTATAGGATGTGAGCTAATTTGATACACAAAATGCAGTAACTTTGTAAAATTGTACTAGCAGAGCCATCCTCTGTGTGTCTTGAATCTCAGAGTGTGGTCCTGTCCAATATCCATAGGTCTGGCCAGTATTTGATAAAGCCTCTTATTTATTAAAATTTATTCATGGTCATGGTGCATCTCTGAACTACCCGATAACCATAACAAGATTCCCTATGTTCACAAAAACATAGCCAATAATGGTATTTGCCCTAGAACATCAAAGCAAAGCTCACACACCAAATCTGGCCCTCTACCCTCTTCCACAAATAAGGACTTACTGGAAATCAGTGTACCATGTTTATATAGTGCCTGTTTCTATCTTCATGCTTCAACTACAAAGATGAAAGTTGTTTCAAAGACTTTATGGCACAAAGCCTGGAGTATTTATTATTGCCTTTATGGGGAAACAATTTGCAAAAGATAAAAATAAGAGCAGTAGGGAATATCATTTAGCACTTACACCATGTCAGCTTTACCTGCTATAGCATGAACTATGTTTTGCAAATAATTAACAAAGAGTTTATCTTTTGATTTGCTTCTGTTGTTTTATTTGAGGCCATTGTGGTGCTTCCTGGGCAAAGATGCTCACCACTAAGTCTGGCAAAAGGAGGTGGGACCCACAGGGTTGAAGGACAAAAACAATTATAGTAAGTGTTCCCTTGTCTTCCACAAGCATGCCATGACTTCAGTCCCCTGACTGAAATAGTAATGTAATAAGAGGAAATCTCTTTCTCTCCTTTCTACTAACCCTCTCCCCCCCTCTCTCATTAGTATAAAGATAAAGTACATCCTGATAATAATTCTTAGAGATTTCAACTTATATTTCCATGCATTAGAGAAAACCCATATTTAAATCCTGAGTTTAAACCAATTTTACAAACTAAATAAACAATTGTACAAGGGTTTAAGAGCAAATCAATACTGTTATCTATACTCATGTATAAATTACTCACATTTTAGAAAACATTCTTTTGTCAACAAAGAGCCTTTGTAGTCTCCACAGAACAAAGTCTAGGACAAAAAATTTGAACAAAGCATGCCTAGCAAATCAGGTAACACCATAGCCTCTTGGAGTAGTGTGTCCTCCCTCTTAACAGCTCACATTGTTGCCTCAGAGGAGACATTGCCCAAGGTACTGGGACATTGCCATCTCCTCCCCAACAGAAGACTGTTATGCTCTCAGAGTATACCTTCTAAGTTGCAATATTTACAAATGCGTAATTCCATTTGCCTTTAGATTGAGCAAAATACAAAAGATGAGGAAAAACTATTCTCAATCTAGAGGGAAAACAAGATTTTGGGGGCCTGAGACACATGGGAGATTGTGTTCCCAAGGCTATCTGTCAGATCAGAATCAAGAGCAAATTTTTATTAAAAGAAAAAAAAAATCAGTAGGGTGAAGCTTTACTTTAAAACCAGAGTACAGGGAGGAAAGAAATTATCATACTTCCATAAGGTCGACACTTTCATTCTTCCCAAACACCTTGCCATCAGCAGAGGGTCCCTGAGAGAGGATGGTCCTGAGCATCTTATGCAGATACTAGCAGACATTGCAGATCCTCAAACATTATACAGCTCTCTGCAGGGAGCTGCCTTTGAAATTCATATGCATCTGTCGTAAAGACACTGACCAAGAGCCTCTGAAAAAAAAAAAGAAGTACTTCTTGTAGCGTACAGACTGCAATCCCACATTGGCAGAAGCCAGGGCCAGACATTCAAACAGAAACTCCAAGGCTGCTGTTTGGTATCCCACACAGCTCTAACCAGGGCCCCACTCACAGCCAGGGAAGAACAACCACTTTTGTTATCAGATGCTGCGCTTAGCTAGCCTTTATATACAGCCCATGACCACCTGCTTAGGTAATGGCACCATTTACAAGTGCTCTCTGCATCATCTCCTACATCCAGGTCCTTGCCATGTTTGAGTTCCTGCCGACTATGACACGGAAGTGCAAACCTAATAAACCCTTTTCTCCTCAATTTGTTTTTGGTCATGGAACAAAAGCAAAGGACTAAACCAAACAGGAGGACATGTAACTTTAGCCATTAAATATTTAACAAAGACACTAAAAACAATCTCGGGGGCCAGAGGTTCTGTGCATCTTCAACAAATGGTGCTGGGCAAACTAAACATCCACATGCAGGAGAATGAAGTTAGAGCCATACCTATCATCATGCACAAAAACTCTGCAAAAGGATTAAAGTGTGGTGATATCTTACTTGTTTAAATAAAGCCTATCTGAAGGTCTGGAAGTCTGTACAGACAGACAGGAATTGAGATAGCTAGGCAGAAACCGGATATAAGCAGGGAGAAACAGGAACTCACTCCCTGGCCTGCTGAGACACTAAGGAGGTAAGGTGTGGCAGTGGTTTTTGCTCCTTCTTCTCTCAGCATTTTCCTCTAGACCAGACTCTGGGTTTTTATTAGTTAGACCAACTAGAACTCCATTTACATCAAAGACCAAAGCATGAGGCCTGAAACACTGAAGCTGCTAGAAGAAAACATGGCAGTACTCTATAGGATACAGATGTCTGAAAAACCTTCCTGAATAGAATTCCATTTGCTCAAAAATAAGTCCAATACTAAAAAGTGGGACAACATAAAACTGGGAAGTTTGTATGTAGCTGCAGCTACAGAAATAAATACCCAGGTAAATAGGAAGCCTACAAAATGGGAAAGAATATTTGTTGGCTATTCATCTGAGAAATGATTAATGTTAAAGAACAACTTTTAAGAACAAGTCAAATAAAACAACATGACCCACTCAAAAAATGGGCCTTGGATCTGAACAGCAAGTTCCCTCAAAAAGGAGAAAAGAATGGCTAGAAAATATCTCAAAATTTTCATCATCCCTAGCAACCATGAATATGCAAATCAAAACAATTTTGAGATTTCATCTTACCCCATTCAGAATGGCAAAGCTCAACAAAACAACCAGCTACAAATTCTTGTGGGGTGCAGAGAAAAGGAAGCCCTCATTCACTGTTAATAGGATTGCAAACTGCTGCAGCCCCTTGGGAAATCTGTGTGGAAAATTCTCAAAATGCAAACAATAAATCTAACCAGATGACCCAGATATATATATCATTTCTTGGCATATACTAAAAAGACTGAATGTTCAGTTCTGTAGATGCTTGCTCAGTCATGTTCATTTTCCATCCTTGCTCTGAGGTAGCCTTTTGTGTCCCAATCCCCAATAAATCTCTTGCATGATGTCTGTTGTGTGGTATGATTTTTGTGGCATTCCTTGGTCCCAGTTGCCAAGGTACCCTTTCACTTTTTCATCAGCAAAACACTTTTATATAGGAGCCCCAACTAAATGCTTTCCCTTATAAGAGTTGCCATGGTCATAACATCTCTTCAGAGCAACAAAAGCGCTAAGACAGATTTGATCACAGCCATCACCTACTGACATGAAAATATTGTTAGTGTTTCTAAACACATCACCAATTTTAAAGAGAGTAAATGATTATGGGGGAGGGGGTATTAGAGAATGGAAAGGAAAGGGGGAACGGTAAAATTATATTATTCTTCAAAATTATTTAAATTAAAAATCGTAAGAGCCACAAGTGATCAATAGATGGAGAAAAGGGGGAAATCCTTTATCTACAGGGAAAAGTCCCCTGATAGGTTGACTATACATTGTGGTCAACCCTAAACACAAGAACTGACTGGCATTACTAAATGGGTATACTCAGTGAGTGTGTGTGTGTGTGTGTGTGTGTGTGTGTGTGTGTGTGTGTATGTGAGAGAGAGCGAGAGAGAGAGAGAGAGATGTTTACATGTGACAATGATAAAGAAGAGGGCAAGAATTTGAGGAGTGATCAGAACAAAGGAGGAAGGGATGAGGGAGAGAGAAGGGGAATCTATGTTAGTATAGTACTCTGTGAACAAAATAATCAACCAAAAAATTAAATGAATAACCCTAATTTTAATTCTGAATCTGTCATCAATCCATGGGGTGTGGCATAGTCAGTAAAAACTAAACCACAAAATAAATAAGAATGAAGGTGTATATCTGTTTGATTGCTTTGTGATTTGGAACTAGAATCCTCCTAAGCTCGGTTTCACCAGAAGCATCATGATACTTACAGCAAATCACCTAAACAGCTCTCCTCCAAGACCCAGCACGCAGACACCACTCAGAAAATGTTATCTCCTTGGATTTTGCACTGACAGCCTAGGGATAGACATGATTTCTCAACAACTTTTAACTTTTCTTTTAGATAATAGAACTTCACAGTTAAAAATGAAGCAAAAGTCCCAGAATTAATAGAATAAATAACATTAAGTTACCTGAATGCTAATCTGTAGCCACAGGCTGCTTCAAGTTGAAACTATGGAAACGGACTTGTGCACCTGGCCCTGTGTCTCCTCCTTCTTACCTGTCTTCCTAAGGTGTTCCTGCCCTTCAAAGCTTTCAGTGCTAATTGGATGGCCTGGAAATCCTGCAACAGACTCATGGTCTGATTGGCTCAGCTCGCTGTCATTTGTATGCTGGTCCTGCCTTTCCTCGAGTTTACACTCCTGTTACCTAGGAAATCCCAGCTACTGTGAAAGCCCAAGCTGTTTGTTCTGGAAGAAATGAGAGGCAGAAGTCTATCGGCAATTGTTCAGTTCTTATCACAGCATCAAAACTGGTCTCCCATGTTTAAAAAAGAAATGTTTAGTAAATTGTCTGACTTGTTTCAGGCGGTTCCCTCCTGACTCTACAAGACTGACACCCCCATGAATGGCTTAATGCCAGGTGAGGCCGGAAACCACTACCTTTAGAAGCAAGCAGGCTAATTATAGGTAACATCCTAGTATTTTGTTTTGTTTCTGTTCCCCACCCTCCTTGGCTTCTTTATTTAATTCTTCATTCTGTTTTCACTTCACACTCGTTCTTAGCAACACCTTTGCCAGGGCAAAAGCAGGCTCGTTAGTTGTTTGCTGTAGGCGGAAAAATCTAAGTCACATTCCTTACACTAAGTGTCTATTGAGTCCATCCTCCCTCCGTACTCCCTCCCACAGGGTCCCTCCATCCTGGAATCATACAAGGAACTGGGACCAGAAGGTTCCAGAAAGGCCGCCCTTCTGCTTCTTGTTACAGATTTTACCTGTGTATTCTCAAAGAATGGTGGTCTTGATTTTTTTAAGATCATTAAAATAAACTGTATGATTCAAAGATATAACATAGACATCAAACACAAAGATTTATTTTTAAAAAGTCAGTATTAGTTGAGGCAATTTCTGATGGAATAATATGAAGGTCAAGAAAAGCACCACCTGCTCAAAAACTGCTTTCTCTATCTCTTTCTATGTCAGATGCCATTTCAGGGGGTCCTTCCTGTATGACATGGTACTTAACAATTTAAGAGAAAGTGTAGACACAGCAGGGATTCGGTGTGCTTCCCACTTCCATCCCGAAGGAGTCTGAGCATCTTGAATTGCATGGGAGACCCCAGATGCATCGCCACTTTCACCGAGTGAAATTAAGAGCTAGCAAAGTTCATTTGTAAGCACTGACCACTTAAATAAGCACCACCACCAAGGATAGACAAACCTTGCCTCTACTTGACCAGTAAACAATGAAGGTCAATTGGGAGCTCCCATAGGGTCAGAAGGGAGTCTTGTTCATCTTTTCGTCTCCTGAAGTTCCCCCATCACAGTGCTTTGGACCACCTTGAAATTAATCAAGGGTGGTTAAACAAATTGTTGAACCAAATAAAATATACTCATATTCAGGACATTTAAAATGGAAATCAATCTTACACAAATAGCTACTTCCTTAGTTTTTTTTTTTTTTTAATCAGTTAAATTAGTTCTTTAACAAATTCATACATGTACATAATACATTCCGATTACTCTCTGCCATCCTCTTTTCTCTCTCCAATCACCCCCTCCCATCAGTCATTTTCCATGATTCATGTCCTCAGGTCTTGTTTTAAGACTAATTTAGTTTGATGAGGACTATCTGTGTAACCACTGGATTGAAGCTGTCCATTGGAGTCTGGTGGAATCACCAGGGGACACATGACTGAAGACAATCACTCCTCTCTCCCAGGATGTGTCATCAGCAGACAGGTCAGCATTGGAGAGACCCTTTTTCCCCTCCTTCTTCCACGCCAGTCTGTTAATGGGTATCACTCAGGTGTTTGTTCTTAAGTTCTTAATTTTGAAGTTTTCTTTAAACTCCATGAATTTTGATGAAGTTTATAAAATTTCCTTTTAAATTCTGCATCCTGGGAGTCACCCAGATTACAAATGTTGACTGGCAAATATTCGATGGGCCTGACAGATATAGGGGCAAGATACTGCCTACTGACTTATATACATCACATTGGTACTTTGTGATGAGATCCCAGCATGTGGACTTCTTTGGTCAGTTCAGTTTCATATATGAGAAGAGCAGATTGGGCAGGAGCACGATGGGGTCTGAAAGTCCAGTATGGCTTGTGTGGACTGAAATCAGTCTGACAGAGGAGGCAGGGTTGCTGGGCAGGAAATGGGTTCTTCAAATCACACACTTTCAAGGAATCTTGGTTCCTTTGCATGTGTAAATGTATTTAGTGACTGAAACATGTTACCTAGGTCTACTCCTTACTAGTGAAAGACTGCTGCTTTTATTTTTTATCTTTTTTGCTGGCCAGATCTAGGGAATAATAGGTTAGCATTAATTATAAAAATCTCATATCTACAACTCTGTATTGTACTCTTCCTATCTTGATCAGATAAAATTAAGAATTTTGGGTTAATCCTTAAGCTGAAACATAGGCCCATATGGTAACATTGTTATTCTTCTCAAATCCCCAATTTATTCCCTTTTAGTAGCTATGAAACCTCTCAATGTTACCAAATTATTTACTTATGTATTTTCTCGCCTATGTAAAGATAATCATCCTAAAATGTTAATCTACACAACTATGAAACACAAGCAATACATTATAAGGTCACTTGCAATTATATTTGTCTTTAATCTGAGAACTTAATGACCAAATTAAACTTTCTCAACTGGCATCATATTAGTTTATGTTTTCCATATTTACAAAAATGCTGGAGAGAAGTGCATTCATTACTGTGTATATTATATTTTAAGGGTTTAACTACTTTCTCTATTTTAATATATTTGTATATAAAATACTAGCACACCTGCAAATCCTGATGTCCTGTGTAATGTGACCCTCATCCACACACTACACATGATCCCTCACAGGATTTTCCCATATATACTTGTTTTCAAGAGTAAATAATATTTTATAAAGAATGGCCGGACATTGTTTGTTATCCCTCAACTCCTACCATCTATTAAAAAAAAAATGACATTCTGTATTTATCACATCTCTTTGTATCTTCTTACTTAACAATGAAGTTCATTCTGTATCAATTTATAAATCTCTGGCTTATTCTATTTTACATTCAGCTGTTACTCCACTAAGAGAATAGACTGTAGTCTTATTTTAATTTCTCTGACATAAGGAAATAAATCTACCATATTAATCATAAAAATTATTTCTCCTAACCCTTCAATTTTCTATGAACTTTAATTCTGATTTCTACCAAGAAAAATGAATTGACTTCATTTATAAGTTGTCATTGTCAGGTATATTGGCTCATATTACATCCTGGGAGTGGCTGTTCCTGCTTAACGGAAACAGAATGGAGCAGACCAGACAGACATTCTGAACTCTAAAGAGAGGCTATAAGAAAAAAAGGAGTAAATAAAATTTGTCAAATATGTGTGGTTTTGTCTCAAATGATAACAAAGAAAGGAATCAGAGAATAGAAGTCGCAGAGAGAATGAAACTGTCATAGCACTGGGAAGGAAGAAAAGAGTGGAGAGAAGAAATGGCCAGAAAAGGAAGGTTTGTGCTAGAGCAAGGGGATCCAGCAAATGAACAGTCACTGGTCAGTCAATGTATTATATGAGTAATATGAAAAAGGCAGAAAATGGTGAGGACAACTGGAGGTCCACCAGGAGAAAGAGGGGAAGAGAAACCTGGGAGTCCCCTGGGTTAGGGAAAGGGGAAGCCAGAGTTCCTTGCATCCTCCCCCAGGTCAAACTTAACATTATGCCTTCTTTTCCTTCCTAGCCATACCCAGGGACTTGAGCAACAAGCCCAGCACTTTCTTCAATAGCCACAAGGTGCCCAGAGTGAGCCCCAATAGAAACAGTAGGACATCCAGCAGGTACTGCATATGCCACGGCTGTTGAAAGCAACGGGGCTTTAGATGTGCTCCTCCCCCTGTTTGTAGGATGTGGTCAATCCAGCCCACCAGACACTGGGAAGGTGTCAGGGGGTGGGAGCGCTGGGTGGCCCTGGCAGCCATTGCTGCAGATTTGTACCTGTAGGCAAAGAGAGACTATGTTACCAATGTGCTGTGCCAATAGTTGAGACACACACCTTTTTTTTTTCCTAGTACATAACCACAGGTCAGCTTCAAACAAAATTGTTGGCATATACTTGACACTGTCTACCTGAGTCCCAACTAAAATGTTCAATAAAAGTCTAAAAAGAAAAACCTTCTACAAGAAGAATCAAAACTAACCCTTGAAGGGTGCTGAAGGTATGCTCACGTTAAATATATTTCAACATATGTGACCGGATGTATATCTAATTAAGTGATTAGGACATTGAAACTTGAGTGTTTACTCCTGTTTGATTGTGAAATCATTGTGCTGGATGGCCAAGTGATATGTGGAGCAATTGTTGTCTCCGTTCCTGTCTCATTTGTGATAGACATGTGTAAACTTCCTTTACAATCGACCTGTCCTGGCCTTAGAAATAGAATGGAAATGATACTGCTTCTTCATGGTGCATGCATTCTATGTGCTAATGTGGGACAGACAATAATGACACACATGATGAAGATATTGCAAATCTTTCAAAGTGTCAAAAAGAAACTAGTGTATGATGGCTGTGCTCAAGGACAGAAAAGATAATAGCATAGTACATGGTCTCCTAAGGAGACATCCTTAGAGAGATAGTATCCTGAGGTCAACACAAAGACATTGATGAGGGAAGATTAGCCATATTAAGAACATGCAAATGTCCTTGTGATTTGAGTAGGAATGGTTCCCATAGTTACAAGTATTTGAATGTTTGTTTCACAGTTGGTGGGTGGACTGTTTAAGAAGGATTAAGAGCCATGAAGTTGTTGAAGGAGATTTGTTACTGGGGCATTTCCAAGCCCAGTCTTGATCTTTCTGCTTCCTGGCTGCAGATCAGATGTAAGCTCTCAGCCCCTGCTCCAGTGACATCCTTGTGGCCACACTTTCCATCAAGATGGTCATGGACTGACCCTCTGGAAGAAGATCCAATTAAGGTTTTTTTCTTAGAAGTTGCCTTGGTGATGGTACTTTTTTACAACAACAGACTAGTAACTACAAAGTCCTCTTTTGACTCAATTGGAATCCTGTGGACATACGATGAGTCATGGAAAGCAGCAACCGTAAGAACATACAACTGTTCTGTCCTGCTTCAGTTGGAATTCTATTGTAGGTCCCCAAAATATGAGGCTGTGGGGATAATGTGTGTATAAAAATGATCACACCACATCAGGTAAAAGCATATTCTTAGCACCTCACCTAAAATGAGGATTAGTAACAAAGAAAAAGCAGGACTTTCAAGTACCACTTCATGTATTATATAACACATCTCACAAAATTCTGGTGTCATTGATAAACAGACTACACAGAACCCTTAACGTTCACCCTGCATTCAGTCTAAGGGACCACAACCCCAAGAGCTGCATACCTCTTGTCTTCTAGGACTTCTTTCAATGTAAGTGCAAATGTCTCTGCCTTGAGTGTCTGTAATTGAACAGAAACACCAATTTTCTTGGCTTCCACTCGGACCATGTTTTCATATTCGTCTCCAAAAAAGGGAATCCCCACCATGGGCACTCCATGCTGGATGGCCTCCATGATGCTGTTTATTCCCCCATGGGTGACAAAAAGATGAATGCTAGGATGAGCTGTTGTAAAAGAGAAAGATGATCCAATATTTCAGTATGAAAGTTTCAGATACTAAGTAAATCAGGTGACCTTAGAAATACCAATGTGCTAGAGAGACTGGATTTGCTGACTTTGTTTTTGAGATTTGCAGTGTTATAGAATATGATATCTAGCTGTGCCTCTGCAGAGATATGCTTTACTTCAATCCAAAACTATCAAGGACGTAGAACCCAGGGACAGATGCAAGCATGTTTCTCTATTCTTCTCATCCCCATCTTCTCCACTGATGCTTTCTTCTTCATTTCTCTCATACATCTGATCTCTTGTGAAGCTTCTATTCTCAGTATTGTCTCCTCTACTTTAAAAGAAGCTTACAAAAGGGGCTGGTAGACCAGACACTTCTGTGTTTTCATGTCTTGTCTGTTGCTCCATAGTGAAAGCAACCAAAAATTTCTTATGATCAGAAAAGAAATCATCGCAAACTATACCTCCCACAAAATCTATTCATGTACCTTGGAAAGTGAGTCTTTTTCCTGTTGTGTAGCCTGTGATTTTGCTGAACATAAATCTACTTGCAAAATTTTCCAATTTATTTTTTGTCACAGTGTTTGGAACAAACCTCTGATGTCAGCCATTGAGTGTGGAAGTGATGGGTCTCCCGAACAATCACATAGAAACAATTTGAGGGGAGGTGGCTTTAGGGAATTCTTTGTGTTGGTGAAGTCACTGTAAGGTTACTTGGGTTGGCACTCAAATAGCTTCCTATACCCTCATACCCCCAACCATGTTGGAAGTGTCTGAGTTTTCAGCCATTTTCCAACAATCAAGATGTGTCTGCATGCTTACATTCAAATTTAGGTCTTTAAAATGCTAAAAGGTTGTCACAATATTATGAGAATAGCAGCAACAAACAGTGGCCACTGCCCCCATGGAGCAGTTATAGCTTACGTATTGTTTAAGAATGTATTGGGGTGAAAAATCTTAAATACTGATAAATCAAGGCTACATATCTATTTATGGACTTGAGACCTGAGTTGGAAAAGATAAGTAAGTTGCTGCTCTTGACAGTCCAGAGCACAGCTTCATACCCCCAAAAACTCTAGCTGCTTTTGCCTGCATGCTAGAGATACATCTTTACCTATCTGCAGCTTTCCTTCTGCTAGTCCAAATGCTCAGATATCCACTACCTATTAAATCCAAAAAGCACTTCAATGGAAATAAAGCAACAGGTCTAGGAGTTGCTTACCAAGAAGGTCAGTTTGTGGAAGCCAATCCATGATTTTAACATTTGGGGCCAATCTGACATCTTTGGGCCAAAGACCTTCCTTACATGTCCACAGTACCCCATGAGGGAGGTGAGCAAAGGCACTGTTAAACTCCTTAATAAGTTCCTTGTTCTGATACATGGTTACTATGGAACCCAGGGCCACTAGAACAAAACCTGATTCTCCAAACTTAGTGAAAAAATCCTCCAAGTCCTAGAAGAAACAAAGGAAAGAAGACAGAAGAAGTTGTTTGTAAAAACCAAAGCAGCTATGACACAAAACCAGGTTGAATAAACCCATGCTTTTAGCTGCTTGTGTTCTATGTGGCAAAATTCCTTTCATAGCCTCTTTACAGCTGTGTTCTGAGTACTGTATTCATGCTTACTGCATTGATTAGCAACCATCTTATCATGTTTGGGCTGTTATGGATTGTTCTTCCAAGCAAATATATATATACAAGATTTTATTTTAGTAACTAATTTCCATTGCTTAAAGTATAAGCTCAGGAATAACCTGATTTTTAAGGGCACTTTTTGTTTAGTAACTTCAGGCCCCTCCTGTTTTTATCATCAATTGTATTATTTTAAGTTCATGCTAGAAATATAGTATATAAAATTTCTTCCCTTGCCATGTTGTATAACGTGTTGTCCTCTGATGGTGTTTTCTAACTTTGGCTACAGAATAATAGATTTATAACAAGGGTTAAGAAGTCTCCTTTCCCGTGGAACTGCCACAAATATTCATAGAGCAACTAAAATTAACTCTTCGGTGTTTCACTTAATTTATCAGTTAGTCCATGTTATATTAAAATTTCTTAACAAAAGAGTTTATTGTTTCAGTCTAATTTAATCCCATAGGATTTTCTATTTGTTCTTCAGACAGTTGTGTTAACAGACATGAATAGGACGTTTTTCATTCATGTATGTGACATAATTTGATGATACATCATGTTTGTATAATTCCCTTTTAATCTTTATTGTTTTATGTAATAGTGAGTAATTTTTCACTGGACAACATAACTATTCAATTGTTCTTATTTATTTTCTCAGTAACTCTAGTGGTTTGTCAGTATACTACTCTTGATTTTACTGATTCTAATTTTTTCTATTCATTCTTTCAATCATCTATACTGTGATTCTTTTAATCCCCTTTTTTCTGATAGCATTCTATTGAGTTCTCTCATTATCCATACCTTATATTGAAAGGTTAGGTTACCAATTTCAATACTTTGTAATAATGGAGATAATAACAGCTACAAATTATATCCTAAGTTTTATTTTACTGGACTCCATTATTCTATTCTTTTCATTTCATTTTCATTGATGCAATATTTCCAAAGTTTCTCTTAATTTTTTTCCATTTTTCTCACTGGATTTTTATAGTGTGTAGTCTATTTTTATATATTTTTAATTTGTAACTCAACCCATTGTGATTAAGAGATATCTGCATTAATTCATAATTTTGAACGTTATGGGTTGTTTGTGTGTTGTCTAATATGACCCAACAAGGTTATTTTGAGCATTATAGAAGAACACATGCTCTGATCTTGTTGGAAAGAACACTTGGGTTTGGAAAGATTGTTCAGCACTAAGACAACTAGCTGTCCTTCCCGAAGACCACAGTTCAGTTCCCATATAGCAGGTCTAGCAACTCTAGCTCCAGGATAGCCAATGCCCTCTTCTGGGCCCAAGCATGCACATGGTACACAGACGTGTGTGCAATGCAAACACTCAGGCACATAAAATGACATAAAAATAAATTTAAAGAACATTCCATGTACTTCTAATAGTTCTGGTTAACCTATATGTTGCTGGTGGTTTCTTTTGTCCTGCAAGGTCCCACTGCTTCAACCCCAAATGAACACACAGAGATGCTATATTAATTAGAAAACTGTTGGCCAAATGGCTAGGGCTTCTTACTGGCTATGTGTCTTAATTATTAATCCATAACTACTAACCTAGGTATTTGTACATGACCTTATTTTACTGGAGAATGCCTGGCATGTCCTATCCTGGTTCCTCCATGGCATCTCCTTCTGCCTACCTTTCTCAGAATTCTTCTCATCTACTAGTCCTGCCTATCTTCCTGGCTCTACTGGCTATTGGCCAAACTGTTTTATTCATCAACCAATAAGAGAAACATATATGGGTTGAGCACTGGGACAGAGGGTAGAGCCAACAGTCCACCTTACTTCGGGAACTTCTCAGAGCAACTCTGAACAAAGGAGACCTGACTATCCACGCGGGACCACCCGTAATTTCTACCTGCTTGGTCTCTGACCCCACCTCCACTCCTCTGCTGGAGCCTCGGGCCCCTCCCAGAGATCCGCCTATCTCTGCGGGACCACTGGGAGTACCTGCTGGCATCTTCTACTGGATCCTCATCATTGACCCCATCCCTGGATCCCTGTCTGTGGAGAAACCTCCTAGAGATCTTGGACCACACAGAGCTACAGATATTGAATCTCAGACCCACATAAGCCCACGGGGGAAGTACCATAGAGAGAGGGGGAGACCCCACCAACACCTACTGGAAGAAGCTACGGGAAGAAGGCAATACAAGAGAACACCTAACAACAGAAAGACAAGCATGACACCACCAGAATCTAGGGAATCTACACCAACTAGAATGGAACACAACAACAAAGCAAAGACACTGAGAGAAACAATTAATAAATGGGACCTCTTCAAACTTAGAAGCTTCTGTAAGGCAAAGGACACAGTCGACAAGACCAAACGGCAGCCCACAGACTGGGAAAAGATTTTCACCAATCCTATATCCGACAAAGGGCTGATCTCCAAAATATACAAAGGACTCAAGAAACTAGTCAACAAAACACCAAATAACCCTATTAAAAAATGGGGTACAGAACTGAAGAAAGAATTCTCAATAGAGGAAATCAAAAAGGCTGAAAGACACTTAAGAAAATGCTCCACATCCCTAGCTATCAGGGAAATGCAAATCAAAACAACTTTGAGATACCATCTTACCCCTGCCAGAATGGCTAAAATTAGAAACACCAATGGTGACTCATGTTGGAGAGGATGTGGAGAAAGTGGAACACTCCTCCACTGCTGGTGGGAGTGCAAACTCATACAGCCATTTTGGAGATCAGTATGGCAGTTCCCCAGTAAAATGGGAATTTACCACAGGAACCGGCAATCACCCTCTTAGGCATATACCCAAAGGATTCACATCCATGCAACAAAGACATCTGTTCAACTATGTTCATAGCAGCACTATTTGTAATAGCAAGAACCTGGAAGCAACCTAGATGCCCTTCAATTGAAGAATGGTTAATGAAGATGTGGCACATCTACACAATGGAATACTACTCTGCAGAAAAAAATAATGGTATCTTGAAATTCACAGGCAAGTGGATGGCACTTGAAGAAAACATCCTGGATGAGGTAACCCAGTCACAAAAAGAGGAACACAGTATGTACTTACTCATATATGGATTTTAGACCTAGATCAAAGGATCACCAGCCTATAATTCACACCACCTGAGGAACTAGGATACAAGGTGTATTCTAAGAGATTCATATAAAGTCCCTCACAGAACTGGTAATGGACAAGTCCCCCAGAGCTTAGGTGAAGTGGGGGGGGGTGCAGCGAATGGAGAGAGAAGTAGGAGAAAATGAGGGGGAGTTAAGGAAAACATGTGCGACCAGGAAGATTGAGCCTGGTTAGGAATAGAAGATAGGAAAGAGAGAGACAGAGACAGAGAGAGAGAACATAAAAGAGGAAGCCAATATTGGTTTGAAGATAAAATTGAACACAAAGAAAGGTCGAGGGAACTACAAGACTGCTCCCAACTAACAATCTCAGCTTCCGTGGAAAGGCTATCATAAATGCCCTTCCCGGAGAGTGAGATCAACAACTAACTTCTCCATGGAGCCCTCAACTAATGCCTTTTGAGAAGGGGATCAAACACCCATACATGAACACTGAGTCGAACTGGAACCCAGATGCAGATGGAGAGGACAGGACCATGCGGCAGAAACACATAGAGACAGCTTACCTGAACAAGGAGGAGCTAATGGCCACTAGACTGAAAGCTGGGAAGCCAGCATGGGACTGACTCAGGCCCCCCTGAATATGGGTCTCAGCCAGAAGGACTGAGTAGTCTAAGAGACCTCAGACAGTGGAGCCAGGATGTATCCCTGGTGCACAAAAGGACTTTGCGAATATATCCCCCATGGAGGGATAACTGCCTTAATGTAGAGACAGGAGAGAAGCCCTAGTCCCTACTTCACAGGACCTGTCAGATCTACATGACCCCAACTGGATGGCATTCCCCAACACATGGAATTGGGGTGGGGGGATGGGAGGGGAGGGTGTTTAGAGTGCATGTGAGAGGGCAGAGAGGGTAAAAGGGAGGGAAGGACGGAGGGAGGGTTGGGGGGGGGGAGGAAGGGAGGGAGGGGGAACTGGGATCGACATGTAAAACAATAAATTAAATTAAAAAAATGCTTTGACTCCAAAATTTAAGTTGAAGGACAAGTTACTGGGGAAAAGTATTTCTATTTTTGTTTCCACAGAAAATGAAAAGATGTGGATTCCTTCCAGACTAATGAGGTTTGATCATGCCAGACTGCCTGAAACAGAGTACAAGTTAATTCTACATTCAAAACAGCTGGACAAAACAGCCCTACAGACTACAGCCAGGATATCTGAATCTTCTTCGAATCCCCCCAAGACAGCGACCCTTACCAGCAGGAAGTAGCTTGGAAAGAAGGACGCCCAAATTCCCAAATATTGTGTATAAATGTTTGTTTTCATTTAATTGGACTTTTTATATAAAATTAAATAAAATAAATATATATATATATATATATATATATATATATATATATATATAAAAGAATGGCTCTTTCTTTTCTTTTCTTTTTTCTTTCTTTTTTTTTTATTTTACATAACAACCACAGTTCACCTCCCTTCCCTCTCCCTGACCCTCCCCCCTCCTTAGAAAGTGTAAGGCTCCTGTGGGGAGTCAACTAAGCTTGGCAAATTGAGTTGAGACAGGACCAAGTTGTCATCCCCCTTTCATCAAGGTTTAACAAGGTATCCCACCATAAGGAATGGGCTCCAAAAAATCCAGTTCATGCACCAGGAATAAATTCTGATCTCACTACCAGAGGCCCCACGTACAGACCAAGCCATACAACTGTCACCCACATTCAGAGTGCCTAGTTGGGTCCCGTGCAGGCTTCCCACCTGTCAGTCCAGAGTCCATGAGCTCCCACTACCTCTGATCAGCTGTCTCTGTGAATTTCCCCTTTATGATCTTGACACCTCCTGGCTCATATGATCCCCCCTCCCTCTCTCCAACTGGACTCCAGGGGCTCGGTCCAGGGCTTGGCTGAGGATCTTTGTACCTGCTTCCATCTGTTACTGGATGAGGGTTCTATGATGACAATTAGGGTAGTCACCAGTCTGATTATAGGGGAAGGCCAGTTCAGGTACTCTCTCCACTATTGCTAGAAGTCTTAACTGGGGTCATCCTTGTGGATTCCTAGGAATTTCCCTAGCACTGGATTTCTTCTTAACCCCACAATGGCTCCCTCTATCAAGAAGTCTCTTTCAATGCTCTCCATCTCTGTCCCTCCCCCAACTCCATCATCCAATTCCCTCATGTTCCCATCACCATCTCCTCCCCTTTTCCCTCCCACCTCCAGTTTACCCAGGAGATCTTATCTATTTCTCCTTCCTAGGGTGATCCATGCATGTTTCTCTTAGGGTCCTCCTTGTTACTTAGCTTCTCTGGGGCTGTGGACTGTAACTTGGTTATTCTTTGCTTTACATCTAACATCCATTTATGAGTGAGTACATACCATGTTTGTCTTTCTGGATCTGGGTAACCTCATTCAGGATGATTATTTTTTTTCTAGTTCCATCCATTTGCCTGTAAATTTAATGATGTCATTGTTTTTTACCTCTGAGTAATACCCCATTGTGTAAATATACCACATTAGCTTTATTCATTTTCCGGATGAGGAGCATCTGGGTTGTTTCCAGGTTCTGGTTATTACCAATAATGCTGCTGCTATGATGAAAATGAACTAAACCTTTGAAACTGTAAGCAAGCCTCCAATTAAACGTGTTCTTTTATGAGTGTTTCCTTGGTCACGGTGTCTCCTCATAGCAATGGAACAGTGACTAGGATAGCTTTTCAGAAGACACTATTTTCTTCTGTGTACTAGAATTATGGGTCCAGAACAACTTGGGCACACTGATGCCAAAGCATCCTTAATAAAAAATCAGCTAAAATGTAGGCCTAGGTTTCAGTTTACTTGCAGGTAGCATCAAGTTCCAGGAAAAGCCATAAGTTGACACCAACCAGAGAGGAAGTACTTGGCATTCCAAATGTTCCAACCATTAGATAAGATTACCAGATGTTCTTGAGCCTAGCATGCATCTATTCCCCTTTTGTCAAGACATCCCTAGACAAATGTCAGCAAATCAGGGTCTTGAACCCTGAAAATTCCCCCCAAATTCTACTGTGATAAAAATCCTACCCCACTATTGTCACCTATATTGAGCGAGTCTAGTTCAGTCTTACACAGGTTCCCCATTTGTCAGACTGGAGTCAGGGATCTCTCACTAGTTCCAGTCAGCTACTTCTGTACAATGGCGAGGCTGGGACAATAAATGAGGCCATTGGCAGTGGGTCCATAATCTAACACTAATGCACAAACTGACTTAGTGGAGCCCATTCTATTTGGAGAGATACCTTGCTCAGCCTAACACAGGGGTGTGGAACGTGGAGAGGTGCTTTGGTCCTACCTCAACGAGATGACAGGATAGCTTTAGTAGACTTCGAGCGGAGGCCTTACCCCCTCTGAGGAGCAGATGGGAGGAGGGTAGTGAGGGTAGTAGGAGAAGAGGTGGGAAGGAGCACTGAGATTGGAATGTAATAAATAAATAAATAAACTTAAAAAAATAAAATCCTACCCTGCCCGGGCATTCTCTGCTATGTCAGATGGATGGAGAGTACATGCTTGAGTTTGAATAAAGGCTCTTTGCCTTTACATATGGGACTCAGTCTCCTTGTTAGTTTTTGGGGGACCATACAATCTGGACATAACAGAATCATTCCACTGAAATATGATTCCAACCATCTATGATTTGGCCACTCTTAATTTGTTAGCTATTTTCCCCCCTTTGGTTTTTTGAGACAGGTTTTCTCTGTATTGCTTTGGAACCTGTCTTGGAACTAGCTCTGTAGACCAGGCTGGCCTTGAACTCACAGAAATCTGCCTGCCTCTATCTCCTGAGTGCTGGCATCAAAGGTGTGTAGTACCACGACCACTTGGCTCTTATTTTAAGTTTTCTATATCTTTTGAAAACACTCTTTCAGGCTGTGGCTTGTCGTTTCATCAATTCAACAGTCTTTTGCTTTAATTCTTATCCTGAACAAAAAATAAACCCATGGACTTAGACTATGAGGCCTAAAACATTGATATTAATAAAGGGAAAAACTAGAAGAGACCCTGGGAGATGTGGCACACACCTTTATTCCCAGCACTCGAGAGACAGAGGCAGGTAGATCTCTGTGAGTTCGAGACCCGCCTGGTCTACAAGAGATAGTTCTAGGACAGGCTCCAAAACTACAGAGAAACCCTGTCTCAAAAAACCAAAAAGGAAGAGACACTTCAAGATATAGGCACTGTGGTGCTTTGAATAGGATAGGTTCATGTGTTTGAATGCTTGGTCATAGGGAGTAATAGTATTAGGAAGCATGGCCTTGTTGGAGTAGGTGTGGCTTTATTGGAGGAAGTGTGTCATTGGGGTGGGCTTTAAAGTCTCAGAAGCTCAAGTTAGGTTTAGTGGCTCAGTCTCTTTTCCTGCTGCCTGAAGATCTGGATATAGAATTCTCAGCTCCTTCTCCAGCACCATGTCTTCCTGCATGTTACCATGTTTCCTGCAATGATCATAATGGACTAAACCTCTGAACTGTAAGCCAGCCCCAGTTAAATGTTTTCCTGTATAAGAGTTGCGGTGGTCACGGTGTCTCTTCACAACAATAGAAACCATAGAAACCCTAACTCAGGTCCAGAAACTGACAGGCAGGACTGAATTAAACTAAAAAGCTTCTGTAAAGTAAACAACAAGAGTGAAGAAACAGCCCAGAGTGGGAGAAAATCTGTCAGCTATTCATCCACCAGGGCATTAATATCATAGCATATATAAAGAACTCAAAAAATTGAATAGCAAATGAATAAAGAATTCAACTAATAAAAGGGAAAATAAGCTGAACATTTTTAAAAGAATACAAATGGCTCATAGATACATTTAAAATCCTCAACATCTTTAGCCATCAGGAAAATGCAGTTAAAAACTACACTGAGATTCCATGTCATCCTAGTCAGAGTGGCTACCATCAAAAAAAAAAAAAAAAAAAAAAAAAAGATGGATGTCCTCCTGTATGCTGTGACTATGTTTCTCTTATTGGTTGGTGAATAAATGCTGACTGGCCAGTAGCCAGGCAGGAAGTATAGGTTATCAGACTATGAATGCTGCAAAGAGGAAAACATGAGAGTGAGAGAGGACACCATGTAGTTATCAGGAAGATAGGGCACCTAGGCATTCTCTGGTAAGCCAAGACTATGTGGAGATACATATATTAACAGAAATGGGTTAATAATTAAGAGAGAGCTAGCCAATAAGAAGTCTGAGCCATTGGCCAAACAGTTTATAATTAATGTAAGCATCTGTTTGTTTATTTGGAACTAAACGGCTGTGGGAACAGGTGAGACAGAAACTCTGTCTTCAAAAAACGGTAAGAATGTAGAAGCTTGAGGTAAAGAATCTTTGTATATTGTTGGTAGGAATATAAAAAAGTTTAGCTGCTATGGGAATCAGCATAGTGGTTCCTCCAGATACTAAGAACTACCATATACTTTACCCATATTGAATCTGGGTGTGTACTTGAAGCCTCTAAGCCATCATACAAAAGAGGGATCTGAAAACTTACAAACACTGTAACAGTTTACCATAGGCATGCTTTGGAAACAGTCTGTGTCCATTAATGAATATTGTGGAATATATACATAGAAGAGTGTTACTGACCTACTGAGAATAGTATGTCACTTGAAGGAAAAGGATGGAACTAGAGACCATCCTGTTAAGTCAGACAAGCCAGATGCAGAAAGACAAGTGTCACGTGTTCTCACTTACCTTTGGAACCTTTCAAAAAAGACATGAACGAAATAGAAGGGGGAATATGACAGACTGGGAATGAAACCATTGGGACAATGGAAGCTATTAAATACAATCATTTCTATATCACACAACAAAAAAGATAAAGTTTATATTTATTTTATGTGTGTGTGTGTGTGTGTGTGTGTGTGTGTGTGTGTGTGTGTGCCTGATTATAAGTATGTGTATAACATGAAGGTTTGGTGCCCATGGGGTTCAGAAGAGGGCACCAGATTCCCCAGAACTGGAGTTTGTAGGTGGTCATGAGCTGCCATGTTGGTGCTAGGAACCAAACACTGGCCCTCTGCAAGAGCAGTAAGTGCTCTTAACTACTGAGCCATCTCTCCAGCCCCTAAAAAGAACTGAGTACTTTCTAACCTCTTTTTCAAGCTTTCCTTCTGTGGAGTCATTTTGGTGTTAGATCTAAACATTATTATCAAACCCAAGATCACCTATTATCACCAGTATCATCAATATTATCCACTATGTAGCTTACTTTTATAGTTTTGTGCTTCAGGACCATGCTTTTAATTGTTGTAGAAAGTGTAAGATTGGCATCTACAATAAAATGCTTTTCTTAATTAACTATTCCAGCTGTATTTGTGGAAAACATTCATTTCTCCACAAAGTTGCCTTTGTTCCTTTGTCATAGATCAGCTGCATCTATTCATGTGCATTCATTTCTAGGTTCCTTATTCTGATTAAATGATCTGGTAATTTTCCCACCAATTCTACCATGCTTTCTTACTATTCTATAATAAACTTGGAAGTCAGGTAATATTTATAAGCTTTGCTTCTGGACAATGTCGATTTGGCTTCTGTAGAGTTTTGCCTCTTCCATAAACTGTTTGATAATATCCATGAAATAATTTACTATGATTTTTGAATTGACTGCATTGTGTATGTAGGTCAAGTTAGAAAAAAAAATTCACATCTATAAACTATTAAGCCAAAAGGCTATCTCTTCACTTACTTAGCTGTTTAATTTAATCAATTTTCTATTTTTTTCTGAAATATACTGTGCACAGACTTTTTTTTAGACTTACACCTAAGTATTTCATTTGGGGACTAATAGGAATGCTACTGTATTTTAAATTTCAAATCCCAATTGTTTATATTTGACACACAGGAAAGAAACATGTTCTATTTTCTTGGTTACTATGGCTAGAGTTTTATCGCTTTTACTGATCTTTTTCAAACAGCCAACTTTGGTTCTGTTAACTTTCTACTGCTTCTCCATTTTCACTGTCATTAACATCAAGATTCTATATACTTCTGTTTTCATTGTAACACAAAGCAGAGCAGATACTAAAAGTATGCCTATTTAATTATTCATTTTTAAATGTTTTATGAAATTTGACAGCAAATTGTAAGTAATAAAGAATAGCTAGATCTTCTCAATGAAGTAAGGTACATAAATAACCAGCAATTTGTAGCTCATAGAAATGTAGTTTATTTCATGCAAAGCTTCATAATATCCTATATTTTAGTAATGAATCATATAAACACTTCAAAAAAATTCATTGCACATTTAGTTACAATACTACAAAGGAATTGTGAGTCAATGAGTTTGTCAAAATCAAAAAGGAACATTATGCATAGATAAGGCAAAAGATGCTAACTTACTTACTGATAGCACTTTGCAGTTTTTTTCAAATATAGATTTGAAAATGTAGTGAGAATCTACAGAAAAGTAGTTACAACCATAACCTACTGGCTAGATAGGAATACATCCAGTAATACCCAATAATAAAGGCTGATGAAAGATAATCTTGGCATCATGCACTCCAAAATAAAGAGTTACCATTTTGAAAATTGTGATTAGATACAATTTGTAAAGATTTATGTTCTATTTTACCTAGTCAACTGAGTTATATGAAGGCAAACTACCAAGCTCTTATCAATGCAATGTGGAAATTAGGCTTATAGTATGCTTTTCTTGGGTACTGGTGTGTGGATCATGTATACACACATAAAAAAACTAAAGAAATGCAGGCATGTTTCAAATCCATGTCAGAGTACTGTACTTCAGAATATTATACTAAGGCAGTGTGTTGGGTCAGAACTTAAAGATGCCTTTAAAACTATTTAAAAGGAATACTACAATTACTTACTTACAAAACATTTATAAAAATTAAATACCAGGAAATAACAACATCAATAATTAGAGCTTGTTTTTACTTTTAAATGCTATAATTTATATATTAGGTTATAGTATTTAAAAGATAGACATACATATGCTCTATCTTCTAAAATGAGAAAAATCCTTCAAGTTGTTCCCAAAATACAGACAAAAACAAATCCATTGGATTGCTTAACAGAATAAATAAATAACAGTCCCTTCCAAGAATTTGGCATGCCAAAGAGGGAAGAGGTTAGCAGTATTCTTCCAATAAAGACAGAAGACATATGCCATGGTGCCAACTCCAAAAGCTGTGCACTTTAATGCACCGTGGACTTGCCTTACATGTCTGCCACAGTCAGCTATTTATTTTCCGTACCCTTATGCACCAAACACAGTAAAGTTCCTTTACAACATTATCTGCAATCAATATAACTGCCAAACACAATGTTTGAGGGGAAGAAACCAAATCATCTTTTAGGATAGTGATGACAGAATTACACCAAGTCTTATTTATTAAGAAAAATTTAAATTACAGAAACATGACACCTGATCTCAATGGTAAGTCCATTGACGTGTTGTTACACTGGTTAATAAGGAAGGAATTAGAGATGAGCCTGCTTCCTTGGCAGTGGAAAGGAAGGTAGTGCCTGCCCCACTGGGCAGAGGGCTCAGTGCTGGGATCCAGGTGCTGGAAGTTGGACTAAACCTGCCTACTCTTCCAAGTCTCTAGCCACAAAAAGTCACTGATCCAGAAGCAAAAAACAACAAACAAACAAAAAAAATCAGATTTCATAAAGCCCCCTATAACCCTTTGTTCCATTTTTAAACATGAGTATTTTTTATGAGTTCTTTTTTACGATAAAATTCCTCACAGTTCTTAATGTTGGGTATTTTAAAGACATTTTATACAGTGACAGTATAAGACATTTTTACAGTGAAAATAATTTTTACTGCAGTGCCTTCCTTAGTAACCTAAAAGAAAGTGCACAGAGCTAGTATGTACAGACATGCACTGGTCAGTTGTGCAGCAATCTGTTTTACTACTTTAGGTACAATACTACTATTTCAAGTAATGGGATTTTAAGTCAGAAATAGTTCCTTTTGACTGTACTGCTCATCAAAAATAACTGTGCACATAAGACAAACTAAACAGAAAAACCTGTCAGCATATTGAAAGTCAAAAAATAAAGAGCGGCAAGAAGGAGTAAAGATCGGAGAGTGGGAGGCACAAAAGAAAGGCAAACCCTAAATACTCTTACTTCTTAGTTTTTAAAGTTTAACTTTTAAAGTTCTTAGTTTTTAAAGTTTAGTTTTAAAGTTTAAAGTTAAACTTACATAGCCCATTGAACATTGAAAATTCAAGTGTGCTATAACTTCTCAAGGACATGTTTTGTTTCTTAGTACAAATATACTTTCATCCTTGTGATTTTTCAGACATGGCCTAGTCTAAAAGCATAAATCTTACTTTATAGACTGAACTGTAACTAAAGGTTTTATTTCTCCCTTAATATAGTAATCAATATACTATCAGAAACATTCTTTATGCCTATTAAAGATATAAAATGAAGCCTGTAAATAAACATAATGAAATTTGTCCATTAGCATGCTAAAATACACTAAAACAGACAAACAAACAAAAACCAGTGACATCACCTACACTTAAATTGAACACATATTGTGCTTTGATTTTACATTAGTTAAATGGTAGAGGCCAACAAGCAATAAACACTTCTTTTTGGTTAGATGATTGAATCTGATCTATTTTTATGATGGGAATTTTTCATACTTTGACTTAAGTCTTAACCGCTTATGTGAAATGAGACCCTTTTGTAGGATGAAATTATTCTAAAACTCTTGTATGAATGTGGTACAATAGAAAATATTTATAATTACACTTATATTTTAATTCTTATTTAAAATTCTTTTACAAAAATGTACAATTAATAAAATGATTATGTAGTTTTAAAAAGTAAATTAACAATACATATAAATGATTCTTGAAATTTATAGATATTTTTCTATAATGCTTATTTTGAGTTATTAGTTTGTTTTCTTAATTGTTTAGAAATATTGATTTGGGTGATGTGGCACATGTCTTTAATCTTAGAAGTTGGGAGGCGGAGGAGGAGGATCAGAAATTCAAGGTCATCCTCAGTTACACAGACAGTTTGAGGCCAGCCCAGGCTACATGAGACCCTGTCTCAAAAAACCAAAATTTCAGGTAACTCTAATCAAATACTTGTTAGTATGTAAGAAAGATATAAAAACGTACCAGAAATAATTCTTTAAGAAAATCATTTTGCATGTAAAGCAGGAGAACTCTGTAGTAATATTTCTGTGACTGTATCAATACATATTAATAAATGTCTCAAAAAATAAAAATAATGTACATACTACCAATGATTTACACAAAGTGGCTTAATAAATAGTAACTTAATCCCTCAGAAATAAATTCAGTCTTCCAGCATGAAATCATTGCTTTCTAAACTCAAATTTACCCATTAAGGTAACTTTTCTAGATGGTTACATACAAAATCTTATAAGAGAAACTGCAAAAATTCACTGTGGAAATAAGTGAAAAGGTATAACAAGACCTAGTATTATTTGTGAAGCATATATATGTAAATACCCAAATTCCTTTACACATTCCCATCCATTTCTTTAGTGCATCATCAAAGTTAGTTGTAAAATTGGACATTTCTTTTTTTATCCTTCTATTCCAGCAACAGCATCTGAGTATTAAGAAAGAAATTTTAACAAAAAAAATATTTAGGAAAAATACTTCAAAGTAACCCAAAGAACTATTTCAGGGGCTGTAGACAAATTAGTTCATTTTGCTTTGGGAACTTTAAAGCTTCTCAAAGACCCTTACTGTGAAAATCATCCCTTTCAAATGACTACTTAGAAAGTACAAACAAACAAAGCAGCACAGCAGAGGCCCAGCACACAGTCATCAACCTAACCCCTCACAACAGTTTCGTGAGGTAGATCAGTAGTTAAGTAGCAAATACGTCCTTCATTCTGAAAATGAAGAAAGTGAGGCACTGAAAGGTTCCATGATCTGCCCAAGGTATTCCAGGAACCAATCACGAAATTATGAATAGCATTACATTATCACTGCTCTGGTCAACTACTTTCTGACCACATTTCACACTAAAAGCTTATATGTGTTATGTGTCCTTGAATTAAGCAGACTATGCAACCTTCAGTTCAGAGTAAATTTTTCTATTGATAATTATTTAAAGGGGAAATCTATGTTGCATGGATGTGGATCATTTGGGTATATGCCTAAGAGGGGGATTGCCGGGTACTGTGGTAAACTAATCCCATTTTCCTGAGGAACCACCATACTGATCTCTAAAATGGCTGTACAAGTTTGCACTCCCACCAGCAGTGGAGGAGTGTTTCCCTTTCTCTACATTCTCTCCAACATGAGTTATCATTGGTGTTTCTAATTTTTGGCAGGAGTAAGATGGCATCTCAAAGTTGTTTTGATTTGCATTTCCCTGATAGCTAAGGATGTGGAGCATTTTCTTAAGTGTCTTTCAGCCTTTTTGATTTCCTCTATTGAGAATTCTTTCTTCAGTTCTATACCCCATTTTTTAATAAAGTTATTTGGTGTTTTGTTGACTAGTTTCTTGAATTCTTTGTATATTTTGGAGATCAGCCCTTTGTTGGATATAGGATTGGTGAAAATCTATTTGAAAAGTCATAAAAATGCAATCATTAAAAAAGAAAATGAGGATGATGCACCCTTCCTTTTAGTACCAATATAAAACTATGCCTCAACACTTGAGCCCTAGTAATAATTGTAAGGAAAATTGGTGTGAGACTGTCTTGGACAAGTTCAAGTCTGATCATTCATATAGAATGATTCTGTAAGAGACACAAATATTTCATGACCATAAAACAATCCCTGCAAATATGTTGTGCTCAGCAATGTTGACTTTGTAATAAAACACTGGCTCTTAAAAATGTAATACTCAAGTTTGGCTTAAATGTGAAGGTTGAAACTACCAATTTAAAATAAAAGCATGTTTAACAAAAAAAATTATCACTATACATTTCCATTCTAATATATTTTTCTGCTTTTTCTAAGTTATAATTTTAGTGCTAGCAATAATCGTAAATGGCTCATTTTTCTTTTTATCTCTGAATAGCCAGAATAGCCAGACATTTTCTTTTCAAGGAATATTAACAGGCATCTTTTAAGCATTAGAGAACTTGGAAAACTCTTTGGATATATACACATATATACAAATATGTGATATATATATACATACATATATGTATATATATATTACTTGCCATTAATATTTATGATTCTTTTCTTGGATGGAATGATCAGTGTCATGTCAATATGCTAAATGCTAAAGGTGAATGTTTTGCTCTGAAATAAAAATCTTTTACACAGTAATAATATCAAAACCATAAAAAGATCCAGTTACTACAAAGAATGAAAAGAATAACACATCATCCAATTAGAATACACATGCTAGACACTAACACTGTCAACTGAAGAATAATCTTAATTACACATGCAAAATCCCATTAATTTGTATGCAGATCGGAAGAAGAGTTGTTTACATTCAATTATGTCTGATAAGGAAGCTTTTTTAAGACATGAGTTTTGTGAATATGGTACTTAATTATCTGAGGTCTCAATTCGCTGTCACTTCTTTGGGAAATGTAGAGTGAACAAATTTAAATTATAGCTATGAAATTGTAATATTTAGTATGACTTATGATTTCCTTGAACTTTAAAATAACTCTCTTGAAAAAAAAATTAACTTGAAACCAACCATGTTCTATGCTTATCATGAATTGAATCCTTCTAAGGCAGACACTTTAGATGGTTTATAATAAATCCTACCAGAAAAGATGATACTCTAGTCAACAAACAATAACCTAATATTAAGATGTGATCCATTTGCCATGCCATTTTTTGTTATCCTTACTATTCACAGAGAGAACAGAGAATTGTAGGGCACAAAGATGTTCATAAAGGCTGAGCTGATGTGATGACCTTGGTTACTTGAGCCATGAATTTCTTCAGTCTTTAGATATCTTCAAATATTATGCTGGAAGACATGGAGAGATAGCGTCCACCAGGTTGATATCTAAAAAAGAAACATAGAAAAATGATATAAATATCAAAAATAAGGGAAAAGAAAAATGAGAAAACATTAACAGAAGTAATTACAAAATTTGTAAAGACTATAAAATTTATTCAGTAGTCAAAAGTAGAACCTATCTCCCAAAATTATAATCCAAAAGGACTTAATTGTAAATCAACCAGCAACTGTTTTGAAGGCATCAATCACAGAGTGAAGGACATAAACAAAATGGGGGATGTAAGATACATTTAGGAGACTGCACAAATTTAGGGAGTCCTCAGACTCACTTTGTTCCCCCTATCTTAGCTGCTCAAATACTGACATTACAGGCAGCTGTCACCATACTTGGCAGAATATCACAATTCCTCAAAAATAAAATAATTACAGGTTATAAAAAGGTATAATGTTGGTAGATGCTTGTCTAGCATATACATTCTTTGGGCTTAACCCCAGTACTAGGTAAACTGAGTGTGGTGGTGCATGACTACAACAGGAGGTGGAAGCATGGGGATCAGATCCAAATCATCTTCAACTACACAGCAAGCTAGAAGGCAATCTGGGCTGTATAAGACTTGGTCTCAAAAAGCAAAGCAAAACAAAAAAAAAAAGGTATCAAATGTTACTTCAAGTTTCTGAATAGGGAAAAGGATTTTTTTTTTTTATGCTGAGCATGCACATACCAGACAAACATATTCCCACCAAGCTTTATCCATAGCCCAATATTTTTCTCATACTTAATTATCTTTTGTTTTCAAGTTCCGCACATCATTAAAATTTCAGAGGCACCAGAAGTTACGTTCCCGATTCAGGTTCCAGAGAGTCATCAGTGAATGTCTCTGCATTAAAATCCAAAGGTTCTGCATCCTGGAGAAGTTCTATCAGTGACCCAGCCAGAACTTACCTTCCTGATTCAGGTTCCAGAGAGTCATCAGTGAATGTCTCTGCATTAAAATCCAAAGGTTCTGCATCCTGGAGAAGTTCTATCCGGTCTCTTTCAGTCCTGTTATTAGCCCTGGTGTACTTGGATGCTGCTCAAAAGAAGAAAAACAATGGGTGCTACTTCTCCATGATCTCTTAATTTATAGATCACAGACTGCATTTATGTGTTGGTTATGGAAACAAGAAACTTAAATTGTTTTGTTCTTAGAAAAATCATACTCAAATTATGACAGTGTAATACAAAATAATAAAGACAAAAACAATAAAGACAATTTCTTGAGTCATCTAGTTAGTCTAAGCTCAAAGTAGGTAGTATGAAGACTTAGAAAATAAAAATTAGAATTTATATTGAATTTTGGTATCACCACAATGAAGTTGTTTATCATTAAACCAAACTTCATTTGGTTTCATAGTAAACCTTTATTTATTTATTTTGGCTAGAAATTTGAGATATAATCACTTCAACTCTTGAAGAAAAGACAATATTTTTGTACATAGCAAGAATAGGCACAACACTGGCCAACAAAAATAAAATATATGTCTACATTTACTTTGAATTTCCACCATATTAAAAAATAAAAAGATACTGCTGAAAATAACTTATCTACTCTTAACCTAATAGATTCAAAATATTGCCAACCCAGAGGAATCTACAATGCAAGTGTTATTGGTCCCACGTAGGTATTGGTTGCCATGTAGGTCATTACAGAGTCAGTAACTCTACCTTTTCCATATGAATTTCTTACAATTTACTTTATTCAAGTCTTCATTTAAGAGGCACAAGTATCTTTAAAAGAAAAAAGAAAAATGGGACTAGAACGATGGCTCTGCTGTCATGGGCATTTGCTGCTCTTTAAAAGGACCAGAGTTCAGTTCCTAGCACCCATGCCACATGACTCCAGGGGAATCTGATGCCCTCTGCACTGTATTCAGGTACATACACACATACAACCCGCATATAACCACATATACATACACAGACATTAAAAGATTCAACTTTATGAAAGAGTTTTTGGAAAACTTAAGGCAAGATGTTTGCATCATATATTTGTCTTCTTGGTCTCTTTCCTAAAGTGGTGATACAATTATGAAAATATCAACCACATTTTAAGAGACTGAAGCCTTTGCTGGACCTCATAACCAGTGTTAATAACGTACCCTGAGATCACTTAAACTGCTATCCTATGTGTACTCAAGTTCATTCACTTAAGACAGCAATGGAACAATCTTACTTGCTTTGGATTTCTCATGTAATCAATTTTTACAATCTAGGGTATTACATAGCTGTAATCTTAGGTCATGTACTCTTCCATGCCCCTGACCAGGAACAATGTATGCATATCATTTGTTAAAAGCAATAAATACAAAGATTGAAAGCAATCTTCTAAAATGAGTTATCTACCCATGGATATTGGTTGATAAATACTGATGTTTGAGGTACTGCTTGTAATCTGGGTCTGTTGGGGAAATTTGGAGCCAGTGACTGAATTCTTTGACAAACTGTTAAAGATTTCTGTAAAATAGCCAGATGGTTGTGGTGTACACCTTTAATCCCAACATTAGGAAGGCAGAGGCAGGTGGATCTTTGAGAGTTTAAAGCCAGCTTGGTATATAGAGCTAGTTCCAGGACAGCCAAGAATATACAGAGAAACCCTGTCTTGGAAAAAAAAAAAAAACCAAACTTATTCCTTCCCTATGTGATTCTTTCTAATGCTGTTCAATAAAGAAAGAATGAAACCCTATGTTACACACACACACACACACACAGAGAGAGAGAGAGAGAGAGAGAGAGAGAGAGAGAGAGAGAGAGAGAGAGAGAGAGAGAGAGAGAGAGCGCCTTGGACAGACTACAGTCATACAGGGACAAATTCTCAAGGCAGCCTTCAGGAGGGCATAGATTCAGACTCATATCATAAACACAGAGGATGGAAGACAGTAAGCATGAAGTAGAGAATTCACATCTGGAATCATTCTTGGTTAAATGAGTCCATGGAGAAGTGCTTTCCTCTTTTTCCTTAATGTGACATCAATTGGTGACTCAGAATTAATCATGAATGTGTTTGGTCCATTTACCCTAAGTCTATTCATTGTTTCATGTATTTATTCCTGCAGCAAATAGTGGTTTTCTAACTTACTATCTAATGCTTTGTGTTTGTTCTTTTCTTAACCATTTTCTCATACTTTCAGATCTTTAGATTCTGAAGACTTTAATTAAATGGTAAACATCTAAATTCCTTTACAGATTCTTATGTTTCTGAGTTCTACCTAAAACTATTGCCCTTTACTATTCATTCTACCCTAAATATCCTTCAAAAAGTCCTCTGTCTTTATTTCAAGTATGACTGCCTTCTTTTAGGCCCTCATCACTCCTTGACTTTACTACAAAAACAGACTTTAAATGGATTCTGAGCTTCATTTCTCTGAAAATCCTATTTTATACCGTCATTAAACTCATCTTTCTAAACAAAAACAACATATGATGCTTCTTATCAGTGAACATGGAGAAACTGAGCTGGTTCTCAATTAGATGCTTTATCCCTACTGACTAAAGGCATGAGATCCTAAGTGCTGGGATCAAAGGTATGTGCCACCACTGCCTGGTTTCTATGGTTAACTATTGACTGGCTCCACCCTCTGATCTCCAGGGAAGCCTGATTTGTTAGAGCACAAACAAAAATATCACCACAGAGTTTCTTCCTATAGTAATTAATAAAGAGATCCACAACTGGACCATGTGCAGAGAGTGAAAGATTCTGAGGTGTTTATCCCTAAGAAGGATGTTGTCGCATCACTCTCTCCTCAAAGTTCAGGGACCTATGCAAAAGAGGGGGCAGTAAGATTGTAAGACCCAGAGTTGTTGAATGTCTCCAAGGAAACAACATCTTCCAGACACAAAAGGGCTGATGCACACATTAACTCACACAGACCATGATAGGATGCGCACATGTTCAAAGTGGACAAAATCCCAGCATGGAGAAGGAAAAGGAGGCACAAAGTCCCACGCATAACCAAGATGCTATTTGTAACTGACAGCTGCTGTGAGAGAGAAAATCAGTTTTCCTCAAATGGAGAAACAATGGGTCTATCTACCGGACTCCAAGGCAGGTATTGTGCTCACCAATAGTTAGTCAACACAAAACATACTTTATGGTGTTTGGTTGATTATATGTTTCTTAAGTGTGTTTTTTCATGTTTTTGTTTTAAGAGAAAGAAAAAAAAACATGAAGTTGGGTGGGCAGAGGGGCATGATGTGGGAGGAGATGGGAAAGTAGTAAGAATATGATCAAAATATATTGTATGAATATTTAAAATAATAAAAACTAAAGTTAAAAAAGATCATGTCTCTTCTCAAGTTAAAAATCTTACCAACAATATAAAATCCATACTTTTGAGCATAACATATCTGTTTCTAAACTGTCTTTGGTTCCTCTTAAGAGTCTCTTCATACTTAAAACTTTAGTCATGAGAAAAACACAGCTTCCCAAACATTCTCTTCTATCACTATTTCTTACTGTTTTTATAATTAAAACCCCCTTCATCTGGGTAACTATCCTTCATTTCTAAATACTCAGATCAATTTTTTATTACAGAAATATTTAGTATAAATATCCATTCCTAAAACACAACACTTTTTCTACTCCCCAACGTAATTTCCTTCAGCATCAGGTGTATACTTTTTGGTAACAACTCTCATGAGACATGTGCAGCATCACTGGAGTCTGCCATTAAAATATTTCTAACATTTCCAATTAGTTCCTTTCTATAATTTCCAGCTGCCTGATGAAATTCTCTTCATCTTTTTATGCACATTTTCCAAACTCCCCACTATATCTTTTAACATGCTAAGTGGTTATTTTCATCAATGAGCTGTCTGGTAATTGTAATACTTGAGTCACATTTTAGGCCTAGTATGCTTACCTTTTCATATTTTAAAGATGGGTCATATCTTACTGTCTTATATTCCTTAGAACCTTTTGTTACAGTAGACATTTCATTGAAAAGAATATAGAAATTAAGTTCAAGGGGCACATCTCTTTTTATTAGGTCATCCGTGTTGTGGGACTGAATTAATCTAATGTGTACCTACTGTGAATTTAGACTCTGCCTTAGTTCTCTTAAGTCTCTACAAATTTTGGTTTTTCTTTGAGTGTAGATGGTCCTCAAGTGCAAATGGATGTTCTTGGTACTTGTCCATTCTCAGACCACTAAAAGGATACCCATGCTTACAGTCCTCCTCTAAAGAACATTATTGCTGTATAAATGAGCAGCTGGGTGGAAGAGGATGCTCAGATTTCCTGCTTCAGCCTCAATCTCAAACAGAACTTTATTCACAGAAACCTTAGCAGTGCGGTTCCTTCAGCAATATCTCATCTTCTCCAAAGACAAAACTTTGCCTCCTACACAGTGTAAATTTCAGTGCAAATACAGGGTTCCTGGCATGTTCCCAAGGGCAAAGGACTTGTTTCTTCTTTGTGTCAGGGTCACATAGAGGTTTCTTAGGGTTTATAGCTAACTTCAGTCCTTTCCTAAATTATGAACATCCAGGGAGCAAGAAATTTATTTTTTTTTTCACTGTATACACTGTAAAGCACTTGAATAGGAGTCAGCCAATACTTATAATAAATCAATGGGTAGAAAAACAAATATAAATCAAGATAAAAGCAGAAATAAGTACCTCTCTAGAACATGCCTTGGAAATAATTTGGTTATTTAGATTCATATACTTACAACAACTTATTTGACGTCCTATTTCCCTTTCCTTGTACACACTAAGAGCTATGATAAAGGGAAGTCACTGTAGACATATTTGTGAGTCCAGAGATGGGTAAGGCTTTGGTTTATATGTAGCACAAGCATTAAGAAAGTAATTCCTAAGCAAACTAGAAAATAAGCTACTTACACCAATTGGTAGTAGTATCTGAGAAATTTGGCTCTTTGGGGTCAGGATGAACATTTCTGTTTCTAGTGGAATCTTCTCTGTTATGTCCATAACGTTCTTTCCACTCCTAGAGCAGAAGCCCAATCAAATATGTAACAAAAAGTTACACTGTCAACAGTCTATATGCAGAGTAATATAACCATTTTTCATGAGAAATTCATAAAATCAATATAATTTTAATAGCATCTTTGTAATCAATTTTTATAACTTCATTTTTAAAAAACACATTTTGCTGGTTATGATTATGTTAACATATTAGTCTATCTAAAACTTCAAAAAAATTATAATAGCAATCTTACCTTGACCATATAAAAGATATGATGTTAAAAAAAACTTCTTTTACTTGAACAAGGTACAAATATTAGAGATCTGATAAGTCACTTTTTGTAACCAACTAAGGTTGTACACAAGTATAGTAAAACTGACTCATATAGATTTAGTAGATATCATGAAAGACAGTATGGTCTCATTAACTGAGAGTCTATACATTATATTTACTTATTTAATTGGAATGGTCATTTGAGAGCCACCTATCCAGTGTTTTGTACAAACAGGGATATATTCATGCCAGGTACTTTTGGCACTTTGAATACATTATTTTTTATGTTTATATAGTCAGTCTATTACAATTTTGGTAAACTGTGGCACTTAGAAATCCTAATACAGTGGTTCTCAAGTCCTAATGCTATAACCCTTTAATATAATCCCTCATGTTGCAGTGACCCCCAATCTTAAAATTAGTTCCATTGCTACTTTATAATTATAATTTTGCTACTGTTATGAATTGTAATGTAAATATCTGATATGTGATCCCTGTGAAATGGCTATTTGACCCAGGTGTCATGACCCAGAGGTTGAGAACCACTGTCCTAAGAGAAGGTGAAATATATCTCTAGTAACATCTAATGTTTTGTTCTAATTATGAAATAAAGAACAAATCTACTTATGAAACAATGAACAAATCTATCAATCTCACTATGCCCCAGTGGGTCTCAAACTTGCTATGTAGACTAGGCTGGCCTAGCACTCAGAGATCTGCCTGTCTCTGCCTCTGTACTGAGATTTAAGGTTTGTGCACCATGCCCAATATACAAATCTTCTTCTACGTGGCATATACTAGAACATGCAAAGACAACTATGACATTTCCTCTTAGTTACTTTCCAGACTAAATAAATCTGTGTTAAAATATTGAAATTGTGAATAGATTTTCTTTCTTTTTTTCATCCTCTTAAAGAAGATTGTCTCAGCAAATGGAGGACTCAAGAGAAATTAAAGAGGAAAATATAAATGCCATATTAAAAAAGAATATTAACTTTAAAGTGACCCAAACTATTTTGTTAACAATGCTGCATGAATTTATTCATTGAATAAAAATTGATTGTATACATAATTTAGTCAACAAACTGATGGATGTTGGACTCAAGTAACTACTAATGACTTCTTAAAAGAACAAATGTGACAGGATAATGTGTATATGTCAAAGTATAAAGTTTCCCTTCTTTAAAAATAACCCAGGATAGAGAGGTGGCTCAGTAGTTAGGAGTACTTGTTCTTCCAAATGAATGGAGTTCAATTCTTAGCAATCTGATATTCCAGTTCTAAGTGACCAATGCCCTCTTGTGCACTCTGGATACCAGGTATGCACATGGTACAAAGGCATGCATTCAGGCAAAACATCATATACATTTACCTATTGTTTCTCATCTTTAACCATTTACTCCAAGTAAGATTCTTATGGTGTTTCCTAGATGTTTCAGTTAAAAGCAATTTAACAAAATATTGTACTTACTCTTCTTCTATTTTCACCTTCCTCTTGCCTTTGCCTTTTTCTTTTCTCTAAAGATAAGAAAAATGGCCTCAAATTTAGTATAATATGGTTTAATTAGATACAGAATAACCAAAGCAAGGAGAGCAGACTATAATATCTCCATCTTACTATACAATTAAACAATAGGTTACTATTAGAAAGGGCCTGCAAGTTCCCTTATGACAGGTGATGTTTCCCTGTTTTGCTGGAGATGGCTCTGTAGACTATCTACTTTTAGGGAAGAACCTCCTGTCTCATGGTGCTCTGAAATTTGGTTTTCTGTAGCTTCTATTCTCATTTGGACTTTTCTTCTAGGTTAAATTAATATTTTCAGTATAACCCTGTTCTCATATGAGCTCTTCAGGTTATATCTGCAGTGCTTGGGGCTCTCTTCCTCTTCAGATAGCCTAGAGTCGTGATTCTGTCAGTCACTCTCTCAATATCTCTCAAGTTACCATCCTAATATTAGGAAGGGGAGGTGCTATGACAAATGCAGAATTATCACATCATACAGACACTACTTACCTAGGAGAGCATGTGAAAGCTAGATTCTGGAGACTAAGATACAATGTCCCCAAATCAAGGTTTTCCCACCCATCCTACTATAACACATTCTACTTTGTGAATGGGTTTTGGGAAAGCTCTATATAGTTTAATAGTACTCACATTCTATTACTAATAATAATTATATTCCAAGAAGGAAAAAAAGAAGCTTGAATAATTTCCCACATAGTAGCAAATTAGTAACTCTAAACACTTGGCAAATATGTTTCAGGAAAAGACAAAAAAGGTCTACTATGGTTTTGATTTTGGATATTTCCTAAAGTCTTGGTCACTGGGTTATGTTTCTGTTGGCAGGTGATGGAGCCTTCAAAGTAAGTGCCTAGTGGAAGAAAGTTAAGTCACTGGGGAAACCTGAAGAGTTTACTGAGATCACGGCAACTTCCTGTGTCTCTCATTTTTTTCTATATGATAAACTGGCTTGGCTTGCTCTCTTACATATTACACTAGTTTAAAGGCAAGTGATCATAGATTGAAATCAATAAAACTGAGAATTAAAATAAACTGTCTTTCCTTCCTGCAAACTATCTCAGGTATTTATTCACAAACTCCAAGATCATAAATGGTTATTACCTAGTTGCAGATAAACTAATAATTTATTCTGTAGAATTCCTTCCCCATAAATCTTACATTACATTTTGTAAAGCAAACCATAAGTATACACATATACATATATATGGTTAAACCTTAAACCACTGTATTTCTTTTTGTAATTAAAAAAGGTTTATGCATTTATTTTTTATTCTTCTCTTATATATTACATCCTAACTGCAGTTTCTCCTCCTTCCTCTCAATCTAGTCCCTCCTCCAACCTTCTCACTCTCACAGATCCACTCCTCCTCCTTTCTCTTCAGAAAAGGGCGGACCTCTCAGGGATATCAACCAACAAACATGGTATATTTAGTGATAATAAGACTAGGCACATCCCCTCATATTAAGGCAGGACAGGTAACCCAGTAGGAGGAAAAAGGTCCACTATATTTCTTAAAGTGGATAAAAAGTATAAGCAAATTTTGCAAACATTAATTTTGTATTTGAGTCTTAGCACTTAAAACTGTCCCTTTATCTTAAAATAACAAATCTTACCTCGTCTGATTAGTTCTTTTCCTTCATCAACTAGATCTGATGTCATATCATTATCTCCCATGAACTGCTGGAAACCAAGCAGATTCAAACAACGGGTTCCCAAACTAATGGAAGCAGATTTCAAAACAGTAAGTATTATTTCACTTTGTAAATATTTTGATAAATTGTTTTTTACTATTGTCACCCCCAGAGAAACCATGACCATTAGTTATCATGGAAATTTGCACAGCAATGCAGTTAGTCATTCTTTCTTTCTTTTAAAAAATGTTTATGTCTAGCATTGCATAAAGTTTCATGCCTATAAGTGCAATATTTGATGGACTGAGGCAGAAGAATTGTCATGAATTTAAGGCCAGCTGAGGCTATAGTGAAACTTTGTTTCAAAACAAAACAAATTTAATGTTACATATTTCACTCAGTAGAGTAAGACTTCTTATATTTACATAAACTATCTTTAGAAAATAATTATACCAGAATGTTAAGCAATGGCTATAATAAAAATCAACCTGTTCTTTTAAAAATATTTAAAGAACAGTTATAATACCAAAAACTACCTATAAAAAAAATCAGAATTTCTACATAAAGTGATTTCTTGTTTAGAAAATCTTAGTTTCTGAGACATGGTGCTACTCTGAAGTTCAGGCTATCCTAGAATTCACTATATGGAATAGGCTGGCTTCAAACTCATGGTGACCCTCTCCCTCAGCCTCTCAAGGGCTGTGATTACAGCACTTAGACACCGTGCTTGGCTTAGGAATATCTCAGTTATGCAAATTTTAATGTTATGCTTTGTTTTCCCTCAAGAATTAAACATTTTCTATTATATACAAAAACGATCATTATATCTTATCTGGAGGCTAGTTACTTGAAATGTTATTTGGCATTTTAATCTGATTATCATATAGGACAAATGTACTTTAAAAACATGGCACACAAGGGAGGAAGCAAGAGATGGATAGGCAGGATTAATACATACTGCTAAGATCCTACTATGGACGAGACAGTTCCTACTGTGGCTCTAGAACCACAGCCAGAGAAAAGACATACAAAATAGAGCAAAAAGCTAAAAAGGGCCAGTGAAAGAAACGCAGTTTGGCCTTGAAATCATAGCCAGCTCTGCCCCTGACCAATAAACTAACCAATCCCTGAGCAGAAAAAAACTTCCCCCTGGGAAAACTCCACCCCTAAAAAGCCCTATATAAGCCCTTCTGGTTGTTCTGTTGTGGGCTATGTTTTCCCACTCTGGCAGAGGCAGCCACTCTCCTGGACTCCTCCTTCCCAAATAAATCTCTTTCTCAAGAGGGTCTAGGGTGAAGATCTTCGTTCGCCATAACAGAATAGAAGAATCTTGCTGAGACATCCCTTAGAGGACTGGGCAGAAAAACCTTGCAGAGACTATCCCTCAGGGATAAGCAGAAAAATTAACAACTTCTCCCTGGAGTGGGAAGAGATTGCTACATTTCTGCAGGGGATTCCCCTTTAGCAAGGTGAAGAGGAAAAGACAATATCTTGAGCCAGAGAGAAGTGGGGCTCTGCTGGGAAGCTCCCTAAGGGAGAAAATGGAGCAAAGCTCACCTCTTCACTGTCTCTGGGACAGAAGCAGGATTGCTATACCCTGCAGGGAGACCATCCCCCACTGCACCCCAACTTTAGGTTATCCCAACTCCCAACAAGTCAGGGTACCTTTCCCTACAGAGCTCAGCTGTGTTATTGCGGCTCTAGGTATAGCCTGGCTTCCCAGTAAGTCAGGATACCTTTGCAGCTCCAGAGCTGTAACACTCAGTCGCTTACAACATAACCCTAAGGAATAAATATTTATCCTTTATATGCATGGAAACACAACTGAGGGACTGGAGAATGGTATGTGTGTGAAGAAAGGAAAACAACTGTTAAAGTGAAACTCTCTGATTTATGTATGCTCAGAAATGTGTAAATATCTGACTAACTCAGAATGTGTGTGGCTTTGAGGAAAGCTTCTCCTTTCTTTGAGAGAAACTCATAATGGCATGTTAAGATCACTATGCAGCTCAGGCTCCGTACACGTATGCGCGTGCATATGCTTGGACTATTGCTGCAGATCAAACCTAGAGTGCTAGGCATTCTAGGTAATACATCATTGAGCTACATCTCCAGCCCCATAATGACTATTTTTTAACAATCTCCCTTCTGATTTCTTATATTAAGATTTTACATTTGACAAAGCACTATCCTATTTATTTATTTATTTATTTATTTATTTATTGAGCCATAGAGACATTTGATCTCAAAATGCTAATATTCCCAATACAACTAACAGGAAAAGATGTACTTCAATTCATGATGTCCCATTAACACGTTTATAAAAATTTTAAATGCGTAACCATATAATCAAAACAGCATTAAACAAATAAAGTCTGCTATTGTTTTTCTACCTTAAAAGCAAAACTCAAAACAATAGTTTTAATGTCAGCTCACATTAATATTTTTATTTTATTTTACTTTGTTTTTCTCTTGAAACAGGGTCTTACTATATATAGTCCAAGCTGACTTTGAACTTGGAATCCTCCTGTCTTACACTACAAAACCCTAGGATTGTAGACATGTGGCATGATGCTCAGCTAAGCCTTGCTTTAAATTATAATCTTTTAGGTATTTTATCAAAAAGTAAAAAAATTTAAACAAGAATTTAAACAACATGATTGCCTATTACCCTAATATTAGTATGTTGGTATGTTATTTATAATATTTATGCACTAATAATATAAGATTTAAATAAAAGTTAATAAAATTTCCTTTCATTAGAAAAGCAAACTGATTTATATTAATAAATGTTTTTATAAATTGGAACATATCTTGCGACATTGAAGCAGTAAGCAGGGGCATGAGTATAAGGGTGTGGAATGTGTATGAGAAAGTAAGAGACAGGGTGCTAAGGCAAACATATGTCTCTAACTTCTTTTATTGAGAATTTGATACATGTATGGAATGAATGATTATACATAATCCCCACTTTCTACCTCCCCACATAACCTGGCATCTTTTTCTAAAACAATAATCCACTAAATCCAATGAGTGCTTCCCATATATGCATGGATGTAGGGCCAGCCACTGGAGCATAGGAAACCTACCTCAGCCTCAAATAAGAATGTCTTCCTTCCAGAGCATCTATCAACTGTCAATCATTCCTCAGGCAGGGTGGAGCCTACAGATCAATCTCTATCTCTGCAGGAACTATTGCTGGCTTGATTTTGTACTGGTCTTGTATGGGTAACTATGGCTGGTATGAGTTCATTACTGTAATAGCTTTAACCCTCTTGAATCTACCTCTGCCAAGAGTCTATAATCTTTTCTGAGTCTGCAAGAAAAGTAGCCTGTGTACCTTCGAGGCATAGAGAAGTTTTTCTCTTTCTTTTCCAACTTTATACATACTCACTAATTATAAGTGCTCCCTTTGTGTTGGCTATCATCTGCAGGATTTAGAAACCCAGCAACAATTATGGGAAAAGCCCAAAGACTAAATTGTGTTAGTGTAAAGAAGCTAGATGTGAAAGGGTATTAAAAACCATGCTGGTTGTCAGTTTCAGAGACCAGTACTTTGCCATCCTGTAATTAATCTTATCACTTGGTAGCCTACATAACTGCAACAGAATGACTCAAATACTCAAAAGGGCCCTTCAAACTACCCTTGTTCTCATAACCTCTGAAAACACAAACAACTAAAACCAAGCCAGTAAATACTCAAGATAGTTTTAAGGCAAAAGTAGATTTATATCCAACTAAGAGCATGAGAAAGAGCAATATTAAGCTTCTTACCTAAAATATGTAGCAATGCAGAGAATTACCACCAACATAGGATAATATATATAGAATCCATCTGCAATAAAGGATAAAACTTTCATGGAACCCATGATCTGAAGAGCAAGAGAAGAGTTAAATCAGCACAGTTTCACATTTTCATTCCTTCCTATCATTAGAAAATTTACTCACAGGAAGTTATATCAACAAATTAAACTTCTCAAAACTTAGAAACAAAGTACCAAGTGGTATGCATTTCTTAAACTTCCTTTTTGTTAAGGGTTTCTTCTAAAGAAATTTAGTATTTTATAACTACTATAAAACGTTAGGCATTAAGATTATATATATATATATATATATATATATATATATATATATATGCTAATGCTACTGTGAGGCAGCTTTTTAATGCAGTGCATCTAAGTAATCTATATAAAGGAAAATCACTTTTTATAATTCTATAAAGAAAATTACTTTACCCCTCTCATTAGTAATTATACACATAGCCTTTAAGTGAAGGCTGTAGTGATGGGAGATGTCATTCTGTAAATATGTTTCTCATACTGGTTAATGAATAAAGCACTGTTGGCCAATAGGAAAGCAAGATAGGTGGGACTAGGAGACAAGGAGGAAAGAGGAAGTAGTAAGGAGGAGTCAAGATAGAGAGTCTGGAGAGAGCAGAACCGTCAGCCGCCTCTCCCTGGTAAGATAAGACCATGTGGAAATACATAGAAATGGGTTAATAATTAAGACAGAGCTAGCAGACAAGAAACTAGTACCTGGCCAACAGCATTATCAAATACAGAGTCTCTGTGCATTATTTGGGGCTGGCACGGCTGTAGGACAAGACCAACAGTGGGCGGAAAAACCTTACTCCTTACACTGTAGTGATTAAAAGGAGTTCAATAATGCTACAGAGTGTCTACTGACAGTAGAAGATGATGCATAACAACATCTGATGTAGATAATGAACTAAAGAGTCATACTTACAGATGTGTATGCAGTTGGCTGGGTATTCTGGTGAGAGATGGATGAATCCATATGGGTCAATCCCAAGAAATTAAGACATAAAGGGGGAGTCAAACGGCAAAATAACCTACGATAAACATTTAAAAGTACCAACATATATTTTAAATATAACAAAATAAATTTTATACTATAGTAAATATATATTTATATTATACATAACATTTTAGATAATTATAACTATAATTTTTATATATTTGCATATTATATATACTTTAATTATTTATGTGAACTGCCCTTAATGGGGACACATTCTGTCCCCAGTAAATCACATTTTCTTTAAGAACACAGGTACCTATATACTTAGATGCAATCCCAAGGTGCTTTCAGCATTCTGGCTAAGATCGAGTATAAAATGAGTATCTTACGTTGCTAGGTTGGAAAATTGGAGGCTGGGAGAATGGAAAGGTTTAAATTAAATATAAGGAGTTGATATCGACAAGAGTTCTTTTGTAGTGAGAGAAAGCTCCATGTTGGTGGTGATAGATGTGTGAATCTAAACACAAATGAAGGATGAAATGTAAGAACTAATTAAAGTCTACAATGCTGCTAATAGTTTTATACAGTATAAATTTCCTAGTTTGGTATTGTACAGCAACTACAGACCATGATGGAAAGCTTGAGGAAGTTATACAGTGGACCTGTAAAGTCCTAAAAATTCACGTTATAGCTTAAATATGGAAGGAATGGCATGGGATCATGTGTTGAAGGGTTCTATTTTACTCAGTGGCTCTATTTTCGGAGATGGAGTAATGTTTAGGAAGTAGGATGTAGCTAGAAGAAGCAGGTTACCTGGCATTATAAATGGAAAGGCACCATGTTTGAGATCCTGTTAGTCTGACTTTGCTTCCTAGGTACCATGAGGTAGACAGCTCTGCTCCAATGCACTCCCCTTGCCATGTGTAGCCTCACGTTAGGTCCAAACAAGTAATAGTAGACTAAAGTCTCTGAAACCTTTAGATGTAATAAATATTTCTTCCCCCAAGTTATTTGTGTCAGGTATTTTGTAACAGCTGATTTTATATAAGACAAAGTTTTGACCAGACATTACTTTGAACTTCTCTGAGCCTATTCCTTATTTATACCTAATATACCTGACTAATAATAAGTAGCCTGTATCGATTACTTATAGCTAAAGCTAACCCTCTACATTTCTCCAGGGAAGAAATATTCCTTTTAGCGTTCATAGAACTTCAATTCAATTTTAGGCTACTCACTTTGAGAACACTCTTTACATCTGACATAGCCTCTAAACTCTCAATTGTTCATATACTAAGTTTCAAATTGGTATCTTTTTTCCTAATAAAGCATTCATAATTTAGCCATAAACATCAAGCAGCATTTAGCTGGTGATCACAAATACCCCCCAATAGTAAAAACAAAACAAAAACCAATCAGTTAGCTTACAAATGTATGTTCACGCAACATCCATGAAAAAGAAACAAAAGAGCTATAATTATCACTTCACATGGAAACATTTCCTTTTCCTACGCTCGTCTACTTACATGCCGCTGAAAAGAAGACTGTAAGCATCAGTCTGATGATGTGAAGCCAAGTAGTAGTAATTAAACACTCGAATCCTGAACACAGTAGAGTAAACACAGATACTTAAGAAGAAGATGGAAAGGAAGCAAGCAATCTGGAAAAGGTTAAAACTTGATTTAAGACTTTATTACTTTATTTACTGCCACAAGAATTATCATTAGCATGGCTACATTTACTGATGTTCTAAAATAGAAATATAAATACATCGGTTGTCTTTTTTAAATGAAATTTTGAAAATAAATCTGTATTTCAACCAGTTCATCCTCCTAGATCCAAAGTTTTGACTCTGAGCCCTGAAGGAAACTGTTTACCTATTCTCTTGACAACTCTGCAGGAAGACAGTAAGTTATATAGTTTCAATGACAGAGGAGGACCAAAGTAACCTCCTATGCTATCCTATACATTTTTATTGATCTTCAACTACAGCTCCTAGTATTTATAGTCTGGGTAAATTGATAAACATCAGTTTTGGAAGTCTGAACAACAGAACTCTGGAAAACTCCACTACTTTCATTTTACTAGAAGAAACATGGGAAAAGATACAACAGTTAAAGCTTCTGCATAAAATGATATATATTTATGAGATGAAAAAACTGACCTCAATATAAATATAGTTGTATGTTTTTTCTGCCAGCTGTATGAAGACTGCAAACAGAGACAAGACAGGAGTTGTGCTAAAGAAGGTACACTCTGACCACACAACAATCACAGAGAAGATGGACAAAACCACAGCAAGGATCCTGTGAAACCATGGACGTAACAGGCATTCCCAGTACCATTCTGGAAAATACAAGAAAAACACAATTAGAAAAACTACATCAATAATAGAGTACTTACAGACTTTCAAACAAGCTGCCAATCAGACAAGACAGAGAAAGGAAGTAACTTCACAGTGGAAAACCAGACATGACTCTAGCCAAATGATCGACATTAGTATATAAACTGATTTCCCATGTGCTTCCTGCTCTGATGCACTCAGGAGAGCATTACATCACCTTTGAGGTATCCCTGAAAATGTTACATAAGCTGTATCTAATCATGAGGACTTGACAAACTCCAATCTGGGGGCAATCAGTAAAGAACTAGCCTGTGCTGTCCATAAACATTGATGTTATAAAATACACAGAGGCTAAAGCACACAGGACAGAAAAACTGTTCCAGATTTAAAACAACTAAGAAAAATGGCAACTGAATACAATGTGTGAGCTTTAGTTTTTTTTTTCCAAAGAGTATCACTGTCATAATTAATCAAAATATGCATAAGGGATATAAGTAATAGTAAATTATAATTGTTAATCTCTAATAATTAGAGTTATAATTGAGAAGCTATATTTTTAGAAAGTATACACTGAATTTCCTAGGGGCAAAAGACCTGGAAGATTAAGACAAAAAAAAAAAAAAAAAAAATGTATATAGAGAAAGGAAGAGCAAATTAATCTAATAAAATGTTAACATATGAAGAATCTGGCTAATTATATGAGAATAGTTTGTGAAGTTTCTGGTTTTATTGTCTGAATTTCAGTAAAGATTAAAAGAAAGCTCAATAAACTGAAAAAGATCTTCATCTATCCATCATCCATCCCATTGAAGACTGAACCCAGGGTTGGTGTGAGCTAAACATATCTGTCACTGGGTTACAGCTTGCAACATGGCTACATTTTCATTTCATTTACTGAAAAGCTAAGTTCTAGGCTCACTGACTTTTCCACTGTACCTCAGCGTAATTCCTGATTATTTAAATATCCACAGACAATTCTTTTTTTCATTGCTTCCATCTCCTCTCTCTAATGAGCTTACCTTTTAAAATCCTCTTTAACTTGATTACTCATTCCAATGGCCATTCCTTAACCTTTTATTGCTACAAGGACAATCTTTCTATAAAGCCCAATTCCATCATCCTCACCCCCAAGCAGTACCTTCATCTGTATCCAACCATACTGCCTATCAGGACAAACAAAACGTTTATTCTTTTACCTTTTTACTGTTATTGAATAATTTTAATGTCCTTCCTTCCTTTCCCAGCTCAGATTCCAGTCTTTGAGGATAACTACTCTCCAGTCCCAATTTCTTTACCCTCTCTTGCTTCACTGTATTTGTCTGGTTAAACCACACTGTTTGATCCAACTCCTTGGTTACTCTGAGTCTGTATACATGTACACTGCAGAAGAAAGACACATCTTTACTGACTATTCTCACTTTAAACTATCGGCAACTTCAAACTGATCCTTAGGACAACTGGATAGCTTACTGGAATTCTCCATTTTCTTCCACATCCATTTCCTATGTGACTATTTTGTAGTCACTTCTCATATTTATTGTCAGTACATTCCTAAGAGAGTATAAGCACTCAGAAGACTTACCAACATTTTTACCACTACATTTTCTCACTTTTACTAAGGCTATATGTCTGTCTGTCTCACCTCCTAGTGCAAGGGCATTCTGTTTATTGTTCACTATTTCCTATCTCATCTCCATTATCCATGAATACTTTTCCAGAGTTCTCTATTCTCCAATTATAAGCTACAATTCAAGCCCTTGGCCCCCACACTATAACAGTTATTACCCTTTTCTGATTTTTTTTCTTTTAGTATTTATTAATTTATTTATTTTTGGTCTCTAAGCAAATGTTTGATCATGTATGCAAACTAGTTTAAAATTGTATTTTGTATACATGTATATATTTAAAATCACAGACATAAATATATTAAGAAACTTCAAAAACCTTTTAAAGTAATCACTGTGTTGAAAGAAATACCATCAAATATTAAGGAGACAATATTTTAAATACTGTTGATGAATTTTTAGAAGTTTCTGTTAATACTCAGGATGCTTAGTTTTTAAAGTACAGCTAATTAATAAAGTTTTATACTATCAATAGCCCAAGTCATGATACACATTTATAGTGAGATTCATCACTAGTGACAATGGATATTTCAAACAGCTTCAGTAAAATTATTGAATTATAAAATTATTATGGAATTATAACCTATTCTGTTATCAAATATTTTATTTGTAAATCTCACTCTGTCTTTCTTTAAAAATATATCACAGCTCCTATATCTATGGCTCAGGAACATCATGGGAGAGGAACCAGAAAGATTGTAAAACTCAGAATAACAGGAAGTCTTTCCTATCAATGGCTATTTCAACAAGACAGGAACAATGACAATGGACAATGTTAACTTAAAAGATGTTAGCAATGGACATGTAACTTAGAAGAAGGAAAATTTCATGGGGTCCCACCACTACACAAAGAATTTAAGCAACTGACGACTTCTGGGAGGAGAATTAGAAGTAAAATAATTGTTTTGGGGTAAGTTTATCAGATCTCTAATATTACCCTATGAAGCAAATTATTATACAAATAAAAGTATTATACTGATGAAATATACATTTTCCTTATAGAAACATTATTAACTTTGGAACTTATGTCAAATTACATACCAACTGTAGGGTTATAAAAATATTGGATAAATCGGTTTTCTGGCTCAGGTGACTGGAAGGTGTGGACAAACTGATGAGTTGCACTGGTTTCATTTTTGGCTACATCTTCTAGATAGAATGCCTGTTCCAAAAGAATTTGCCATTGTACTTGCGTTCTTCGGTGCCTTTGAACTGAATAAATGACCTTACAAAAAGAAGGATACTTCTGTCAGTATGACCAATCAATGGGTCAACTTTCTGCTAGACAATGGGGTTTGGTTTGTCTTTGTCTTAATAAAGTAGCACTAATGGCATTTTCTAAATGTGGCCAAGGGTGTTAATGTTTTGAATTGACAAATTACTTCCTTGTTGTAGAATTACCAAGAGTATCCTTGCCCAGAAACACAAAGTTAAAACATTTCAACTATAATAAGAAAAAGATCAATAGTTTTGATTATATATTTCATTTGCACGCATACACATTTGGAGATAGGGTGCTTGCATGTATGATTGTGTGCATGTGGAAAGCAGAAGCCAGTATCAGGTGTCTTCCCCCAGCCATTCTCCACCTTAGTTTTTGACACAAGGTCTCTTACTGAACCTGGCTAACCGGCCTGGCCAGTGTTAGGCTTAGCTCTGCCTCCGAGCACTGAAAACAGGTGCATACCACTATGCCTGGGTTTATACAGGAGCTGGAGACTAAGCTCAGTTTCTCAGACTTGAGTTAAAGGGGTTTAACAGCAGAGCCAACATGCATGCAGATTTTTTATCTGAGCAATAATTATTAAACTAATTCATATCCTCTAATTGCATTAAAATAGATACAATTAATAATTAAGGTTACCTGTTTATGCAATTTTACCAAACTTTTTTCACTGGGGTAGGTATTACGCTTTTCATCAAAATCTTCATAATCATCCATATTTCTACCCATCTTTTCCTGATAATCTGTAGGGCACTAAAAGAAGAAACATTTTATAAAATCTTAATAAATATTTAATAAAAATTTAAAATTTACTAAATCTTAATAAATCTTTAATAAAATTGTATTTTTATTAAAAATTTCATTCTGGAAAATTTTATTTTTCTCAAAAATATTTTCTTTTATTAACATCTCTAATTTTAGATTTTTCACTAGCTAACATTTTTAAAACAATATTTCAAAGCTGAGTTTCTTCTCACTTCTACTAGTATTTATCATTATGCTTAGATATACTAGCTGGAGACTGGGAAAAAACTCAGTGGTAACTTGAGTACATAAAAATAATTGTGGAACTTACAAATAATTATTTTAGAGGTACACAAATATACTTGCAATTCAATACAGCTCCATCAAAATCATAGCAATATGGCTTATTTATTAAATATGCATGTAATTTATTTCATAACACAGATCATAAAATTATATATGAGAAGATGCTTGCAAGAATTACTGAGACCTTCATTTACAGGAGACAGTCTTTAATGGTAACACATGATGGTACAGTAAAGATGTACTTCTGTCACCATGCCATGCAATTATTGCAAGTTACTCAACATTAGTGCTACCTTCACATTTCAAGGGAAAACACTGTCAATAATTACCACAAAACTTACAATGCATAAGAAAAATTCTATATATCAATCACTCTGTTTATGGTAAAGATTTACATGAAACTCAATCTCAAACACCTCAACTGTATGTTTTTAACATATTTTCTCATGTAAAATATTAATTTATAGTAGTACATAAGGTTTATTCATAAGAAATACAGGGAATATTATAATATAATTACCTTTTTAAGTATTGTATCAACACATTTTCTCAATGGGTGGTTATACTTAATGCTTTCATTTACCTTACGAACCTCCTATAAAAACAGTGAGAAAATAAAAATATTGAATTTCTATAAATCAGACATCTTAAATACAGTAAATGCTATTAGATCTCAGATTTTAACTTCACCTCAAATTATTTAGCATCATAAGAAGTCTTTTTTACAGAAAAAAAGTTATTAAGAACAGGTGTAAAATTACAAAGTATTCAAATAGCTGTACTTATATTCTTACTATTTTATGAATTTCTAAATTTATTCTCTATTGTTTGCTCACTTCATACAATAAGTGCTAAGCATTATTTAACTGTTTAAAAGGCTGTAATACATGTGTGTGTAAATATACATATATAGTTTAAATAAAATTTTCCCAAATGCTCCCTCCAAGAGCCAAAGAACATCTAACAAAAACCTTAACAACACCGAATATGAGAAGCCCCTTTTGAGTTGTTGTTGATCAGGGTTAGGCTATTGTTATTATTAAATCTCTATTTAGAGATTATTAAATCTCTATTGCTGAAGACACCATGCACTTAAGACACAGGACTCAGAAACTGCTGAACTAAGAACAGATTTGAAAAGCCTCACCCACGGGGACTAGCCTTCATGGTTCCAGAAGATGCCATGAAATCTTCCAAGGGAGAGAAGCAACCAACAGTCCTACTCAGTCAGGATGCCTATGGCATCGAATGGCATGACATGATAGCAAGTTTCCTTAAACTCAAGTCAAGTGTAGTCCTCACTCCTCATCAAAGTTCTCTTTGTAAGAGAAAACAATAATGAATCAAATGCATAGATGAGAGTCAAGTGCCAAGCCAAGGGGCACATCTATAAATAACTTCCTCACCTAAAGACTTAGGGATCACTGTGGAACAAGTGGGGGTTGGGTAACAACAGAAAGACTAAGAGCCAGAGGATTAAAGAGTTGATGTAAGGTCATTTCTCCTAGGATTGTGAGAAGCTATACCCATAAAGGCTCATTAATAGAAAAATGTAAAATCATTTGGAAAGAGAGAATCTGAACTAAGAATGCCAGTAAAGGGATTTTTCTACTCCAGAAAAACAGTTTAAGCAGGCAGAAAACACAGCAGCAATGGTCCCAAAGGGTTGGGCTTCATCTTGACCTGGCAGCAAAAGTTGGCTGTTTCATTCATATGGTACAGATTTTAGAGGCATGAAGGATGAAAGAATGAAAGGGTCACAGAAGCATGTGCATAGGTTCCAGAAGGTAACTAAGGACAGTCAGTATGTGGCAAGGTCAGATTCCCTATAAGAAGGCACTTATGGGCCACTTGTATGAAACTGTGAAGGTGAAGCCTAAGTTGACATGGAAACTCAAGGATGCTGGAGATTCTAGACCATGGAAACTCTACCAAGGAAAGCACTGGCATATATCAATCAGACCAGTCCAAAGGAGAGACGAGTGTGTTGTACTCATGGCAGAGCTGGAGGAGAGGAGCTATGCAAGCTCTTTAGAGCCCAGATATTTCTACCATGAGCCCCAGATGCCTGACCAAGAAGAACTACAGGATTTAGTATTTTCCTGTTGTATTATGGTCTTGCTTTAATATAAGCTTTCCTTACTATGACCCCACTTTTTTTTCTTTTGGGGTGAGAATGTTTAGTTTGTGCCATCAAATGTATGTACTTCATTTTTATTATACAGGGACTCACATTTAAGAGATTGTTCAAGTCTCAGAAGAGACTCTGAATTTACACTTTTGAACAATGTTGGAATTGTTAAAGACTATGGAGACTTTTGATGTTGGACTTAATTCATTTTACATTATCCATGAGGACAAAGAGTAGAAGGTTCTAGCTTAAAAGTGGTATGTTTGGATATCACATTGGCAATAGATAGACTTGTGATGGATAACACTGTCAACTTGTACACGTGTACACAGATCTGTGAAAATGTTGTAAAGGATTTCTACATTAGGTTAACTGAAGTGGAGAGATCCATCTTATCTTACACTGAGTAAACAGGAGAAAGTAAGCTAAGAAGCAACATTTCTTGCTCTGCCTCCTATCTGGAGATCATGTGGCCTGACACTCCTATCACCAATACTTCCTTGCTATGATGGACTACCCCTTCAAATTGTAAACCCAAATAGTCTCATATTTCTCTAAATTGTTTTTGCCAGTTACTTTTGATCACAGCAATGCAAAAAGTAACCAATGCATTTAATGAGTATTAAAAGGCATAAAAGGGAAAAGGAAGTGGCTTGTTAGATAAAGTAATATTGTGTAAGCATGAGGATCTCAGTACATATCCCCAGAACCCATGTATAAAGCCAAGGATAATGATGCTCTACTGAAACCCAGGAACAGTGAAGGTGGAGACAGGGGGATCTTTGAAGCTCATTGGCCTACCAGTCTAGCTGAATCAATGTGTTTCAAGTTCAGGAAGAGACCCTATCTCAAAAAATAAAAGTGGACATCAACCAACAAAAGAAATGCAATCTTGACACTGGGCCTCCAAATGTGCACACATATGAACAAACACACACACACAAACAACCACACACACACACACACACACACACACACACACACAGAGAGAGAGAGAGAGAGAGAGGTGTGTGTAGGTTAGAAACAGAGTCTTTGGAATTAGTATTTCCTAGGAATCACAATATCCTATAATATTGGTGAAATAAAATGTTGGGATCACTATTCTATATGCAAAAACAAAACAAAACAAAGAATCCTACATACTACAGTCCTGGAATAAAGAAAAAAAAAACAAAGGAAATTTAAGAGAACATTTGGAGTGGAGGGCTTTAAATGATAGGCAATGAGAATCAAAAACCATCTCATATACTAAGAAAATTACAAAAAAAAATTTATATGGCAGAGTTACCTTAATATGTGAACTTTCTTGTTAGCAAACATTAAAAAAATGAGAATACAAAATAGAATTGGAATATAAATATGTAAAAGGATATTCAAGCTTCAAAAAAATATCCCAAATTCCAAATGAGTTTTCTTACAAAATTATAAGACATTTATATCATGTAATCAAACCCAACATCATTTACAGAAAAAAAGTGATCTATCCGGAGTTACCAGAAATCATGAAAATCTAATATATTCATACTCTGAATAATTGATATCAACAGACACTGCTACTGTAAGGGACTTGGCTTATTGAGGAAAACAGACAATTAAACAAAAAAGATATAGAAATGCTATTTTAAAAAAAGTACAGGAAGTTCTGAATGAGCACAATTTAGTTTAGTAGTCTTTCTGATGAACTGATCATTTAAAATGAAACAAAACAAAATGAGTAAGACTCAGTAAACTAAAAGGAAGAACAAGAATATTCCCAAGAGAGACAAGGACAGTGAGTACTATGGTCTCCAGACAGAACTGAAAAGAATTGTATCAGAGAGAACAAACAGCATGACTACTGAGAAAAGGACAATAAAGGCAAAAAAAAAAAAAAAAAAAAAAAAAGTGTGGTTAGGCTAGAGAGACAACATCCAAGACCTCCCAGAAATCTTACTAGCAATTCATTTTGAGATATGGCCATTATAAGTACATATCTGGTAAAATTTAATTTAATCTTTATTTTTAGATTTTTTAACTTATTTACAATATTTTGAGAAGTTTCCCTACACAGATTTTTCTAACTTGAGTTTGCTGTGTAGCTCAGGCTGCGCTTGGAGTTACTTTTCTGAGTTAGCAGGGTTTACAAGCATTTTCGCTACTATGCCCAGATCATATCAGTATTTTCAAGGCTCACCTTGGATGCCTGACATTATATTTTACCATTTCTACATCGCTTTAAAGTCTGTAGTTAGCACAAATTTATTTATTTGAAATGTTAACTATATAATCTAACCATATATGTAAAATAGTATGTTTTCCTTTGAAATTATTTAGCCCCATTAAATAAAAGCAAGGACTGAAACAGTTAACTTTACACATTTGCTATCTGTTATAAATTTAAGATTTACTCAACAGTTAATTTTTAAAGTTTGGGAGGCATCTGGAACAGAAGGTTCAGAGACAAAAAAAAAAGGGATAATAGTTAAGAATCGAGGGTCATCAAACCTAAGCAAATCTAGTGGTCTCCCACCTGTTCTCAGACTGAGATACAAGCTTGCTCTCCTTCATTTATGTAGAGTCTACAGTTGCTTTCAGACCACAATCGCCAAGAAACCACAGTAGAGACCACATGGCAACAAAACTCAAACACTTAGCATCTGCCTCTTCATATTTTAAAAAAGGTGGTTGGTTGCTGTTAAAGTGTGAACTAAAGTTAACTTCCCTGGCTCCCCTTATTAGCTGTGTGTACAAAAGGAAGTTATTTCAACTCCCAGGGCTTCAATTTCTTCATTTATAAAATGGGGATTAAAAAGAAAATCTCTTTTGTAAAGTTGTAAGAATTAAATAAAGTTGACCCTTGAAAAACAATTCTGAACTGTGCATGTCCACTTGCATGCATATATTTCTTTTAAATCTCTGATAAGTTAATAAAATTCAAAGGATCAGCACATCCTAGAAATGTTGAGCAATTCTTCTAATTTGGTGCTTCTGATGAATAAAAGATAAATAGATGGATGGATGGATGGATGGATGGATGGATGGACAGACTGACTGACTGACAGATAGGGTAGCCTATTTTATCATTTACTATCATAAAACAGACATCTACCACTAAAATTAAAATTGATCATTATTCACTGATAAGACATTTACAGGCTGCACATGGCACCATTTGCAGTCAAGAGAACTGTCAACAGAAACAGAGTGTTATTAAAACAGAACTGCTTTTGTAGGATTAAATTTGCTTACCTCCATTACATCCTCCAAATTCTCTTCTGCATCTGCTTTCTCTGTCATCAGTTTGGCTGCCTTAAAGTAAGTCTTCATAAGTAGATAACCCCTTTTAGCTCCGTTCCAGTATGATCGAGGAATCTCCACCAAGCCATACCCCAATAATAACACAAGAAGAAACAGACCCCATGTGTTAGCAGCAGCTATGCCAATAGTCTGAAGTTGGTTCCTAAGAAATAGAAAATATAATCAGACATCTGTGATAAATATAAATTTCTAGAAAACTGTCCAAAGGGATAAGTGGGATTTTTTTTAGAAAAAACTCTAAAGTAGGATTTCATATAAATAAATTTTCAACTCTTCTTTTCAATCACAGCAGATAAACCATATATTTTAATGTGTAGACAGAGTGTGACTCAAAAAATAGGCTTTAAAAAATGGGAAGTACTGCTTAAGTTATGATCAAAATTAGAATATAGGGTAATTCATAGCACGCACACACATACATATTTCCTTCACATCAGCCACTTTTCACTAGGTGCTTTCTAAATCAAGATTAACTAAAAGATCCCTGTAAACAGTTGAATTAACTTGTGTTATGTTTGACTTACATCAACAATGAGACCTAGCGTTACTAGTCTATATACATTAAAATGAATTTTAATTTATTGAAATATATGAACCTAAAACAATAGGAAAACTATTCTGTCAAACTACAAGTCAAAAAGAAAAAAATATAAGTTGCTGGGATGGGGGGAGGGGATTCATTTTTGAACATTTATAAAATTTGAAATTTGGTTAAAAATATTGTTATTTATCATATGGTTACTTGCCAAAATATTAATTCACCAACTAAAGTGATACTTCATGCCATTCTGGATTTTGTTTCTTAGTAATATACCTTATTCAGATATTCCTTGAGGGATATCTATAAGACATATAATCTGGCATGTGTGTCTGCTTACTTGTATGTACACAATAAAAGTTAATTGAAAACAGTAGGAACATACACAGAACAGTGTTAAAAAAGACTACTTTTCTTACCATTCTAAATGTAAACGTGGGTTTACAGCCACATAAATTAGAAATGCTCCAAATATCAGCAAGTAAGTGCCATAATAGATTGCGTTCTCAATCAGGGCTGTTTTTATCTTCCCAGTAATGGAAAACCCTCCAGATCTTGCATATGACTGCATAAAAGGTAACAGAATCCTAGTTGGATAGAAAATATATGATTAAAGACTCAATGATGTATCTGTACAATCTTAAAATATTCCAGATATATAAATTTCTATGTATAATTCTCCACCCCAATAAATTTTATTGAGTAATTACATGTTAATACTGAATGAGCCACAATAAATATTTTTATAATATCAAATTAGGTTTAACAAAGAAGACAGCAAATGAGGCTGCAATAGCATGCGGAGTAGAACAGCATGAGTGACTTCAGATTCTCTAAAAGGTCTAAAATGAGGCCTTAGAGCCAGAGTTGTGGTATATGATGTAATATTAGCATTTGGAAGACTGAGGCAGGAAGATTGTTGACTTTGAGGACAACCTGGGTTATAAAATTACAGCCCCATTGCAGAAACAAAGACATAAATAACAACATAATTCCTTTAGAGCAACCTTTAGACTATATTCAAAGAATAAGGAAGCATGACTTTTTTGTTTGTTTGTTTTTGCTTTTGCTTTTTTAAGGACAGGATTTCAGATGGAGTGGAGATCTATTGAAACACAGGGAGTAGAAGTGATGGGTCAGTCCTGTGGAACCAGGACTGCAGGATCTCCACAACACAGGGCATAAAAACAAACAGGTAGATCAATGGAATCGAATTAAAGATCCGGGCATAAGTCCACATACCTATAAACACCTGATTTTTGACAACGGGGAAGCTAAAATTACACAATGGAAAAAAAGAGAGCATCTTCAACAAATTGTACTGGCCTAACTGGATGTCAGCGTGTAGGAGAACACAAATAGAGCTATATCTATTACCCTGCACAAAACTCAAGTCCAAGTAGATCAGGGACCTCAACACAAATCCAGTTAAATTGAGCCCAATAGAAGAGAAAGTGGGAAACAGCCTTGAATGTATTAGCATAGGGGACAACTTCCTGAATAGAACACACAAACACTAAGATCAACAATTAATAAATAGGACCTCACGAAACTGAAAAGCTTCTATAAGGCAAAGGACACCATCAATAAAACAAAACAGCAGCCTACAGAATGAGAAAATTCCATGACTGACAGGGGGCTGATCTCTAAAATATATGAAGAAGTCAAGAAATTAGATATCAAAACAAAAAACAATCCAATTAAAACATGGGGTATAGATCTAAACAATTCTCAATAGAAAAATCTCAAATGGCAGAGATACACTTAAAGAAATGTTCAACATCCTTAGCCATTAGTGAAATGCAAATCAAACAACTCTGAGATTCCATCTTACACCTGTCAGAATGGCTAAGATAAACAACAAAAGTGACAGCTTATGCTGGAGAGGATGTGAAGTAAGGGAACACTCCTTCACTGCTGGTGTGAGTGCAAACTTGTCCAGCCACTTTGGAAATCAATATGGCAGTTTCCCAGAAAATTAGGAATCGATCTACCTCAAGACCTAGCTATACCACTCTTGGGCATTACCCTAAGGAAGCTCAATCATACCACAGAGCCCTTTGTTCAATTATGTTCATAGCAGTGTTATTTAAAATACCAGAACCTGGAAACCACCTACATGTCCCTCAATCAAAGAATGGATAAAGAAAATGTGCTGCATTTACACAGTGAAGTATTATTCAGCTGTTAAAATAATATCAGGAAAATGTAAGGCAAAGGATGGAACTAGAAAAAAAAATAATTATCCTGAGCTAACCCAGACTCAGAAAGACAAACACGTACTCACTCATAAGTGGATATTAGCTATGAAGGATAACTGTTACCATCCACAACCTCAGAGTGTTTAGGTAACAAGGAGGGCCTGAAGAGCAACAGGGATTCATGGATTTCCCCATAAAGGTGAAAAACAAGAAAACTCCTGGGTAGACTGGGAACCAGTGGAGATGGGAACATGAGGGATTGGATTCCAGAGAAATAGACCTGGAGTACATTACTGGCTATTAAAACCACAGCTGTAATTAATGCTATGTGGGGTCAGGCAGGCAAGATGACTAAACACAAGGCTCAAGGGAAGAACACCATTTAGGAACTGGGTCACAGATATAAAGAAAACATCCATAAAGGAAATAAGAATGTATGCGCAAGCAGGCAGGGCTAGAGGGTGGGCCCATATTGCTAAAGACATTACATATTTAGGATCCAAGACTTGATTATTTGAGCTGGGTCTAACCTGAAAGCTTCTTTCCTCCAGTTAAGCTTCCTTCAGAAAATACTATGCAAGCTGCCAAGAGAGAGAAGCAATTAAATCGTCCTACCCACTGCACCATCTATGAACCACAATAACAAGCATGGCAAGCTATCTGTAATGGCACAGTAAATGGCACTCACATTTATTGGTGGTAACCAACATCTGTCTAATTGAACTTAAGGCCCACTCAACAGGAAGGAAATCATACCTGGTACTGAAAACCTATCCAGCTTCCTAAGGCTAGTGAGGACTTGTACATTAGAGAACAATCTACCACCACCACTTTGCTAGACCAGCATACTTCCTTATTATATTCTAAACATAATCTTTATACCCACAGGTTGGTGTAGCTACTATGCCTCACCAAAGAAGCCTCTCTTTCCAGCAATTGGAGACCACTACAGAAAAATACAAGTGGACAAAATGCAGATCAAGAGACTGTGGGGGGCCCATTCTCAACCCAGTCTATATCACAGCATCTATATCTTAGGAGTCATTGTGGAAGAAGGAAGATTTTTAAGAGTCAGAATATCAGAAATCTGTGGTGAAACAGTCTCTCTTGTAATAGTTGTATAAATAAAACCAGAACAATAGCAATACTTATGGACATATTAACACAAAAAGAGAAAATTTTTGTGGGGTGCTATGTCTAGACCAGTGGTTCTCAACTTTCCTAATGTTGTGGTATCCCCCAACCATAAAATTTTCATTACTACTTCATAACTATAGTTTTACTGTTATGAATAATAATGTAAATATCTGTGTTTTCCGATAGTCTTAAGTGATGCCTGTGAAAGGGTTGTTCAACCCCCAAAAGAGTCATGACCTACAGATTGAGAACCACTGCTCAAGACAAGGAGCTACAGACAACTAATGAGTGCTACAAGAGGGAAAATTAAATCAGCCTCTCCCAGGGATGAGCCCCTTATCGGTTGTCCAATGCAGAGTGGTCAATCCTGTAATCATATACACACACAAAAAAACTAATTTATGTAATATCAGTAATCAAAGAAATAGAGGCTATCTACTTGAGGTTTGGGGATGGGAGGTGGGATGGGTCTGAGAGAGGATGTTTAGGATAGGCTGGAGGGAGGAAAGAAAAAGGAAGTTAAGTCATTCTATTTCAATCAAAAACACAGTAAAGAAAGGAAACCAAGGGAAAGTGATGTCATTAATGAAAGCACTTTCATATAATAACAGAGCTAAAAGAGGACTGGATTGAAGACAAAACAAGAAGAATGACATGGAAGGAAAGAATTACAAGAAAAATTTTCATTTCTGTTTTCTATTTTTGTCTGCCTTTCTTTTCTTTCCTTTATTCTGTCTTTTAAAGACAGCAGAAATTTGAGTCAGTAAAAATGGAATATATACATTTCAAAATATTAAGGCTGACTAAAAATTAACCACTTTTGCCAAAAATGCATCCTATACTGCCACTTACCAAGTTAAAAACTGTGATGTCCAATAAACTACCCTCCAGAAAATTGGCATGATCCCATCCGGAATGTAACTCCATGGCTTGAAACATGGATGTTGTCTGTTATAACAATTTAAAGTCAATTAATAATCACAAAGGCTTATTTCTTAATTGAGAGATTATATAAATTTGTGAGTAGCCAAGTTCATTTACATCAAACTAATAATTATTGATCAAATCATAATATCTGAGAAAAATTTAAAAACAAAGCTGTCAAACAAAATATTATACATAAAAGGAATGAAACTGTTTCCTCTAAAAAGGAATATTATTTAAGTTTTCAATTTCCAGTGTATTTCTTAGTTATTTAATGAAAAGAAGCTCTACTCTTGAACTAAATGACTGATAGTGTGGAAGTCTTTAGAAAATAAATGGATTTATGGAACCAAATATTCAATGATTACACTTAATATTTGTAATCATTGTAGGGCTGGCTATATTTTATTGTTATATAGTAGTGAATGCTGAAATAGGAATTAAAAAGGAATTCAATATAACAGAAATTTAGGTGACTGATTCCTGAACGATGCAATGCTAATTAAGTTAGATATCCTATTGCTTCTGCAGAGAAAAGCACCTGCAAGTATACACAATCTGTTCATATTTTCTAACGAAGTGTCTGACCATAAACTCTTTCATTTAAAAGTTTTCCAGATTACGAGGCTCTCTTTTTAATTCAAGGATGTCTAAATCCTCAAACTATTACTGATCTACAAAGACTAACATTTTTCCCTTACTTGTCAGATGTTCTTACATGTCTATGTGCATGTTTGTGTGTGTGAACTAAGTGCCTGTGTGCAAGAAGGTCAGAGGACAACCTTCCTCAGTAGCAATATTACACTCCTTTGAAACAAGGTTTCTGATTGGTCTGGAGATCATTAATTTGGCTATACTGGTTATCATTCAGTGAACCCAATAATGGGATTACAAGTGCACCAGCACAACATTTTTACCTGAATTCTGGGAACCATACTCAGGTCATTATGATTGTGAGGCAAGCTTTGTATTGACTGAGCTATCTCACTAGGCCCTATATTTTCTTCTAAAAGCTGCATAAAGAAGCAATATAATAAAGATAATAGCATGGATGAAAGTAGGGGAACATAGGGAATAAGGGAAACTATAAATATACAAGTAAGTAGTAAGACTATCAATTGCAATATTGCAGTATTTATATTACGCAGCAAAGTAGATGGAAAAAATACCTTGGAGCTGGGGTGACAGGTGCATACACTCCTGTAACATTGTTGTTTTCAGGAGGGCTGGAATTTGCAGCAGCGTGTCTGCATCGGTTGTATATTGTCTAAAGCAATGAATACAAAGTTTTAAAATGAGAACCAAGAACTCACCAAGTAGTTAAAGGATATTTCATAAATCCACCTACCTATTTTCTGGGCTATACTGTCTAATAACTAAATTCCTAAAACATTGAAATTCAAAATGTAAAGATAACATTACATAGTTTTGTCAATTTAACACAGCAATATTCAAAGCATATTTCAAATTATATGATTACAACTGTATCTCAATTTCACTCTTACCGTACTGACATCCAGTGGCAGGATGAAGACAATAAGAAAGCAGAGATACCAAGCAAGCAGTGTTCCAATGATTACAAGTCTATGCTGTTTCTTAAAGTCTCCATATCGATGAAGGAGGAACAATGCCAGAAAAAAGACAAAAACAATCTCAAGTCCTAAAGCTGCACCACTCATTATTGAATGTTCACGATATCCAGCCAAAGTGATTCATGTACAGTTCTGGAGCATATCTGTTCACTAGACAAGTAAAAAGAAAACACATGTGTACCATTAACACAGGAAACAACAATCTGGAAATGTTTTAATTACTTTATTAATGTATCAATACTCTTTGGAAAACTGTGTATAACTTTACATTGGCTTGGGAATAAGATGAAATGACAAGTATTTTTAAACTTTTACAAATAGGCTGGGTGCTAACACATACCCTTAGCCTAGTATTATGGGTGCCAGGGCAGGAGAAGCATGAGTTAGAGGACAGCCTGGACTACTTATGTATGTATATGTGTGTGTATGTGTGTGTGTGTGTGTGTGTGTGTGTGTATATATTTTATATATATTACATATTCATTATTCTTAAATATGTCATATATTCTTTATGTTTCTCACTGCCATGATGCATACTAATGCATATTTAAAATCTCAATATAAAATATATATATATAATATATACATGCATATATATAATTCCTTTGGGGAAAAATACTGTAATAAAAGTCATACTCATTCTTAAAAATATTTAAAAATTAAATTATTAATACTAAGATAGGAACAGTTTTAATATAATATTGAGTAGGTTTCTTAATGATATAATTGCTAGCCAAATATTTAAATTATTTTTAATTTAAAACCTTTTTATACAATATATTTTGATCATACTGTTTCTCCTCCCCCAACTCCTGGAAGATCCTCACCACTTCTCTATCTACCCAATTTCATGTTCTCTCTCTCAAAGAGTATAAAACAAACAAACAAAAACAACAACAACAAAAAATAAATAATACCAATAAGATAAAGAATATGTGAAGATCCAGCATTTCTACTCTTAGGCATATACCCAAAGGATGCACTTCATACAAGGATATCTATTCAACTATGTTCATAGCAGCATTATTTGTAATAGCCAGAACCTAGATGGTCCCCAACCAAAGAATGGATTTTAAAAAATGTGGCACATTTACACAATGGAGTACTACTCTGTGGAAAACAATGAAATCTTGAAATTCGCAGGCAAATGGATGGAACTAGAAGAAACCATCCTGAGTGAGGTAACCCAGAAAGACAAACATGGTATGTACTCACTCATATATAGATATTAGACATTGAGCAAAGGATTACCAGCCTACAAAATCCACACCTCCAGAGAAGCTAGGAAACAAAGAGTATCCTAAGAGAGACATGCATGCTTCCCCTCCCCCCCAAGAAGGGGAAAGGGACAAGAGCTCTTGAGCAAATTCGGAGCATGGGGTAGGGAGGAAATAGAGAAGAGGAACAGGAGGAGAACATGAAGGATCAGGAAGATTGAGTTGGGGGATGATTAGAGCAAAACAAGAAAAGAGATAGCATAATAGAGCCATTATAGGTTTAAAGAGAAATCTGGCAGTAGGGAAATGTCCAGAGATCCATAAGGATGACCCCAACTAAGAATCTAAACAATAGTGGAGAGGCTACCTTAAATGCCCTTCCTCTATAATGACATTGATGACTGACTTATATGCCATCACAGAGCCTTCATCCAGCAGCTGATGGAAGCAGAAGCAGACACCCACAGCCAAACTCCTGAAATCCAGTTATAGAGAGGGAGGAGTGATGAGCAAAGGAGTCAAGACTATGCTGAAGAAACCCACAGAAACAGCTGACCTGAATAAGTAAGAGCTCATGGGGCCCAGCCAGACAGCTGCGGAACCAGAACAGGACTGAATAAGGCCCCCTGAATGTGGGTGACAGTTAAGAGGCCTGGGCAGTCTATGGCTTCTAGCAGTGTAACCAGTATTTATCTCTCCTGCAGAAATAGACTTTGGGAGCCCACTCCCCCACTGAGGGATACTCTCTCAGCCTAGATACATGGAGGAGGGCCTAGGCCCTGCCCCAAATGATGTGACAGACTTTTATGATCCCCCATTGAAGGCCTCACCCTCTCTAGGTAGTGGATGGGGGATGAGATGGGAAGGGTCAGTGGGGGGAATGGGAAGATGGGAGGGAGAAGGAACTGGGACTGATGTAAACTAAAATTGTTTCTAATTTAAAAAATATTTAAATTTAAAAAAAGAATGACAAAACACATACATGCAACAAACACAAAAACAGAACAAAACAAACAAAAACCATGGAGTCCACTTTGTTGGCCAGCTATTCTTAGACATGAAGCCTGCCCTGTTCGTGCTGACACTCCACTGGAGAAAATTGATTTTCCCTTTGCCTTCAGGTATCAACTGCAAATAACTTCTTGGTTAGGGGTGGATCTTTGTAGCAGAAGTAAGTTATCATAGAAAATTAGATATTAAGTCTATCTTAGGAAGTTAGACATTTAATAAAAGTTTTCTAAGATCATCTATAGCCAAGAACTTAAGATTTCCTGAAAGTCACCAACAGGAACATTTAAAAGTAACTTCTTAGAAACATTATCTTCCTTTTATGCTTTGTCATACTCAATTTCATGATTTAAAGCTTGTTATGATCTACTTTATAGGTTAACATTTTCCACTAATCTGTATAAATCTTACTTCTTAAGAAAGCTACTTTTCTATTTTATGTACAAAGAAGCTCCTGCTACTACTACTAAAAAACTATCTAGACCACAGTGGTCAGTTGGAAATTCATGATATAGCCTAGATTAGCTTCAAACTCATCAATCTGCTACTATAAATTACCTGAATTCTGGGATTAAAGGCATGTGGTACCATGGTTGGTCTTACCAATAATTACTCGATAAAGTCATTAGGTTTCTTTTGTTTTGTTTCCAGGTTTTTGAGATATGGTCTTGCTATGGAGACCAGGCTAGCCTCTAATTCATTATATAGACTAGGTTGGCCTTGCACCCGTAACTCTACTACTTCTACTCCTCAGTATTGAGACAATTTTGTTCTCTTTTGTTTGTTTGAAACATGGTTTCATGTGTCCTAGACTAGTTCTACCAAAAACAAATCTTGAATACTTCTTGCCTTCATTTCCTAAGTGCTGAGGGCAGGCAAGTGCCACCATACCCAGATGGAAAATATTTTTAATTGTAAATGTATAATACAAACATCAGCAAATGATTTTTCACTTCTAAAAAAAGAAAAGAATCTGGAGCTTGGTAGTTTGGCTAACAAGCTGGCTAATAGCTTCGGGGATTCTCCTGTTTCTATCCCTGTTGTTCATCAATGGGGCATTTGCCTCTTCACCTAGCTTTTTGTGTGGGTTCTGGGAATCTTCATGCTTGCGCATCAGCGCTTTTTCCACTGAACCATCTTCTCAGTTCCTTTCTGCTTATTAATTATTATATTTATTAAATATATACTATCTTCTAAGGCAAGAGGAGACAGGAGTGCAATGCAGTCTGAGGAGCAGTGCAGTGTCTGAAAACAGTGCAGTCTAAGTAGTCTGAGGATGCAGTCTGAGGACAGGATGGCCCCTTTGGTGTGAGCATCGGTAGAGGTAAGAACTCTCTCTATGTTCAGGGGGTCTGAGTCAGTCCCATGCTGGATTCCCAGCTATCAGTCTGGGGGCCCGTTAGCTCCTCTTTGTTCAGGTCAGCTGTCTCTATGTGTTTTTGCAACGTGGTCTTGTCCCCCCTCTCTGCCTCTGGATTCTAGTTTGGCTCAGTGTTTAGTTGTGGGTGTTTGCTTCTGTTTCCAACAGGTTCTAGATCAGCTAGAAGGCCTGAGCAGTCTAAGGGACCTTAGACAGTAGAACCAGGATGTATTCCTGGTGTACAAAAAGACCTTGCAGGCACATCCCTCATGGAGGGATACTCCCTTAACACAGAGACAGGAGAGAAGTCCTAGTCCCTACCTCAAATGACTTGACAGATTTAGATGACCCCTCCTGGATGGCATCATCCTACATGTGGAGTAGGGGGGAGTGTGGTCAGGATGCATGTGGGGGGGGGGAGAGGGAAAGAGGGAGGAAGGTAGAAAGGGAGGGAGAGGGAACTGGGATTGATATGTCAAAATAAATAAATAAATACATAAACAAGTTTGAAAAAAAAAAAAAGAACTCTCTCTAGTGGCTGACCACTTTGCTTCTCTGATCTTCAGCATTAAAAACAATTATAATTCATGCAACATCTGGCACCCAGCTTCTGGGGTACAATTTCATGAAAAAGCCGTTTGCCTGTGGCTTTGCAGGAGCTATATAGGCTGTAGCTACAAAGAGCCGGAGTCACCAGAGTCACCGCCCTACCAGCTAGGTTTTCCTTTCTTCTCTCCTGGTGGGCGTTCACTGTACTCCCTTCTTGGGCTGCTGCCAAACCAGGCAGCTGCCTTAAAATGCAGTCATGCTTTTACTGTTATATAAAGCAGCAGTCAGCCTCACATCAACATCTTCCTCAGCTGATTTGGTGAGAAAATTAGGACTCCTTAAAGGAAGGAATTAGCTGAAAGAGAGAATTTTTTCCCACGTTAAAAAATGGAAAACACAATTATGATAGAGAAAGTTAGGTTTCTGTATGATTATACAATACATGACTTTAAAAATGGGGCAATTAGATAAGATAATCAACTTAACTGGGACTGACATAATGTTAATTATCATTTTGATAATCCTTATTGTTGCTTTGATAATTCTTGGTTTATCTCTTCAAAAGTTGTCTGATATGAGTGCCAAGATAGGGGCCTTAGAAAAACTTAATAAAACAGATCATAGAGATACTCAAACCCAGACAGAGGAATTTAAAGGAGAACCAATTTCAGCACTGCATTATAAGGTTAGAGAGGAACAGCCTAAGGTTTTCAAACAACCAACCTTAATATTTCCAGTAACCTTACAGGAATTGCCAAATGGCAGAGGCTCTATAAAAGCTGATTGGACTCCTATGCCAATGTTAGATTTAAGGAGATTCAAGGAAGTGGTAGTCTCATATGGTATGCATCTGCCATTTGTGAAGCAGATGTTGAACTCGCAGTCAACTTGTAATAGAATTCTCCCTAAAGACTAGAGAGACTTGGTTACAGTCTTGGAGCCTGATCCATAATTACAATGTAAGACCTGGTGGATAGAAGAGGCTAAGGCCATTGAATAACAGAGTAGAGAGGTAT